GTTATTTTTTGGTCACTCCCTTCCAAAGTATAACGTTAGCCACGTGCTAGTGTTTACTCGACAATAGACTTTTGAAGTTCTTCGCGTTACAAAACAATATACATGCGGTTATATTTGTGCTGGTTGAATGGTGCCAATCTGATTTGTTCATTGTTCCTTTGTACGTGAATGTCTTCTAGACGGCATAGTACTTTTCAAATTATGATCGCTTTAATTTTGTACAATACATGTTATTTTATCTTAATATGAAATACACTTATAGTGATGGAAATTATTATTTGCTTTGAAGTGGCAGAAGTGGCGCTGGAGATATTTGTATGATTTAGAAAGGAATAATTATTAGTTTGGTTTCACAAAAAGTCGTACTAGAGTAATGGTTGTAAATAATCACATGATTGTAATAATAATAATAATATATTTATTATTATTTAATATCTAAAATAGACATTGATTATTAAAAATTATGTTAATAATAGAACATTGCTGTAGAAAGTATAAGCGTCCAGTTTATATAACAAAAACATATTATCTGTAGATGGTAAAAAATGTGTTTACTATCTGCAGACCCGGGTCGAATATGTTATGTAATTGTTGTTTGTATTTTTTGAACGTGCTCTGTTGCGGATATTATTTAAGGCATCACGGATGTAATTTTTTTATTATTGCTATTATTATTATTAATGTGTTCCGGTTCATAGGAACTGAAACGGCGAATTAACAGCTAATGAAAAACAGTATAACCTGATGTTAGCCCATTATAGTACACTAATAAAATGATTATTACTATTTTTGTCTGGAAAAGTATTCATTATTCCCGTAAAGACAGATTAATTTGAAGTGGGTCGATTTTATTATTATCTGTTATTAACTCAATTATTGCTTAGTGAAATCTAATAGCTGAAACGATTCTTCCAAAGAGAGTTTTGTACGACAGCTGTTATCCGCTAAAGGTGCCGAATCCGAAATCGATTGCATAAGACAAAAGTTCAAAAAAAAAAAAAATTTTAAAACCGGGTCAATGCCGGTTTAATCGACTTATTATTGACATTATTGCAGCCATCCCACCGCCATGGTATTTATTAGATAACAGTTCGGCCAAGAAGAAAAACTCGGTCCGAATAAATTAACGGGAAACTTCGATCCGTAATACACTTAAGTTTTAAAGGTTTGCAGTATTGTGCGAGGCCGACTTTACTCCATTGCGGCCTTGACACCGTTTCCGGTATCTTTGTAACCCCAAAATCCAATACGGTTTCTTTGAAATATTGTTCTTATAATTTATTATTTTTGTTTTTTTAACTAAACGACGATACCGATAGTCGGAAAACAATTTAATTCGTACAACAATTACAGTGAAAAATATTTTATTTTTCCTTTAAACAAATGATCAAAACTCAAAAGGTTAAGTAAGCAGCTCTGAGAGTTAGTTTGAGTGTGTGTATTGACCCAATTTTAGCATCAGCTTTTTCAGCGTGTGACAGATTTCTTTATTTTCCGCCAAAATCAAAATATATCTCGTTGGTGGTTACCGCGGTAAACACAAACTTCCCTTCGCCATATTATCGCCTTCAAGCCTTCGTCTCGTCTCGCTGTCCATCACATGGCCTTTACCGTCCTGTACTGCGTTTTCGCCTTTCAGACGTGTAAAATAAACCATTGGTCAATTACCAATTTGAAATCCATAATGAAAGCTAAATAAGAAAAAAAATAGTGCCCCAAAAGAGCTGTGATATACTAGTATGTAGACTTATATAGTAATAGTATTTAGTGTATTTTTATAATAAGTAGAATTGCAGTTACACGATTGACTTTCCATCAGTGCTAATTGGTATCGATTTGTACTCAAACACATCAGATGGCTGATAAGTATTCGAATGGAAAACGGTCAACGATCGATTCATAATAATCATAATATACGATAATTAAATGAACTATTCACTTTTTTAAAACAAGCCCGCACTAATGGTTAAGTAACAGGAAGATCAACATTTTGTACTACCAAAAAATGGGATTTTCAATACGGGTATTTAATATTACCAAGAGTCTAATGATGTATCATGGACACGCGATGTAGCCCTTTTTTGAATAAAGTCATACTATATAGAAATCTAGTCGAGCAGTGCACAGACAATACCTCCTTGTATTTTACCTTGCGAGCACTTTTACAGAACCTTTGCTAATACTCGGTAAAAAACCAGCAACACTTGGTTGAAAACAAATTTAGTATAATAATGGTGACAAATTTGACGAGATCACTGCCAAAAATTCAAAATTGCAATCCTACCGCACTCCCTCCCCTCCTTCTCTAAATAGCTATTTAGACGGATTTGCTTATCATCGCTTCTCCCATTTAATCTTGTCGTCCGGAACATCCGTGTTCTTTATCCCGGAAGTTTAAATATCTGTAATGCTATGTGACGCTTATACAAAGAACACAATACAATATTATCCCATCCGGTCACAAATTAATCTTTTGTAAGACTTTCTTTGTTTGGTCAGTTGACAAGAACACACACAGTAGTCTGGTCTACTAAAAAAAAAACTTACTAAAAACTACTTCAAACGACAGTTAAAAAAAAATAAAGCTTGTCATGTTGAGATTGGCATATTATTAGGTTATCAATTATCATATTTACTTGATTTTTTTTAAATATAAATAGTATAATAAAAAGACAAAGAAAAACTAAAAATAACAATACCTACAGTACTCTATGAGTTATTATTATTCAACATGCATATGTGTATTGTGTATTATTCACAAAAATGTGTTTATATTTATTTCAATATTGATTACATTTCAATTATTCATTTCAATAATTTTGCTCGGAAAAAAATGTATGATATAAGTTTAAACTAAAACTAAATAAACGAAAAAAAATATATTTGGACCAACTAAATGTTTAGTAGCAACTATATATGTATGTGGTTAGGCCAACTGAAGGTTTAGTTGGCCCATATATTTATTCAATTATTCCAATTTTAAGTTTATCGTATCCCTTTATCTTAGTCATAATTTGACAAAGTATTTTTTTCCTTTTATAAAAGAATACATTTTGCATAAGGTGTAGAGAAGGGGGTGTGCGAATTGGTGAGTCAATCGCACTGAATCCTTAGGCCTTTTTAATTATATATATTTTAAAAATTTTGCCTCTGGCGTGAAAATACATAACACTCATGACTTCGGCGCTTTCGGTTCGAATGTATTTATTTATTATTATTATCCGAATATTTAAACGCACTTGTCCGCGTCTCAAAAGAGATATCAGCTATATGACGTTTGGAGTAATTCGTGCACGCAGCCGGAACGGTCGTTGTCATTAATTTGTAATGAATACTACAGCTAAATAGCAATATCCGGCGTGAGGTGGTCCCGATGGCCCGAGTTCGGTCTAGAAGAAAATTAAAAGAAACTTTAGCGCCCAGGGACCGGTCTGTGATAAACATATATATATATTATATATATATATATATATACCGTGTTCTTCGTTGTGGAAAGCGGATGTATTTCTCGCGGGATTAACACTGCCGAAATGAACCACGTCCATGTGTATACATGTGTATTCCACTATGTCTACTCGAGTGTACGTTTGTGTACTTACGCAATACATTAATGTATTATAATGTTTATCTATGTGTGTGTACATTTTATACAAGCTATTCGTTATAATTTAAATCCCTTGAGGCGAGGCGAGTAAGAATCCCGGCCACTCTTTTACTCTCGTCCGAACGCGCATTAGGTGTATAGAAAAATTATTGCAACATGACATGGCGACGACTCGTCTTGATAATATTAATTTGAAAATTGTAATCCCAGTGAGTGCACGCGCTAAGTACTAACAAAGCACACACACACACAAACACACGTACGTTTTATAACAGCTGTGTAGTCATAACGACAATACGTCATGTCATATTTAGACTAAAGCATGTATATGATAATACATTAAAACATGACAAAAAATTAAACTTATATTATATGTGTACATTTTATATGCATGGTGTGAAATGTGAATAAAGTGCCTGATTAAACGGTAGACATCACATTTCGATTTTCCGGTTTGATGACCTAACCGGTTGAAAACTTAAGTCAGCCAACTGTAATAATAGCACGGGGTATATTATTATTATTTAGCACTAAATTAAACAAAAACTCTTTATTTTTAATCACATACTTATAATATAAACTCATATAATTATTCAAATCCGAAAGGGCATAAATCGCTTCAACTAGCTGAAATTATAATAGATTATATATTCGCTTATCTATATTTGGCGTCAAGTGTAGGCCTATCTACAAAAGAGATATAAATTTGGTGATTTCATTTACACCCACTCGTTTCGGGATTCTACTATACCATGGTTTTTTGGACCTCGGAGACCGAATTCGTTATCTTCGTTGATTTATTTCAATTCGGTTGCAAACCTCCTAAGTAAAAAAATGTAGAGTATAATTTTGGGATATGATTCTGTAGACAAATTAGTTTTGCACAAGACGACAAAATTTGTTTCAATGAATTCTGTAAAAATACAAACTTAAACGCATTATCGCCGTTGCAATACTTACTTTTATCGATATTTGTATTTCTACCGTCTTCAGGCTCGCACCTGTTTATTCGAAAGTGATATATCATCACTTTCAGTTTTAAAAAAAATCCTATTGATCAGGCTCCATAAAGATTCCCAATAGGGAAGATACTTATACTTATCACACAAAAACGCATAGTGGTCTATCTTCTTAAGGCCACACCACTATAATGTTATATTTATACATTATTATTATTTGTTGAGTATATAAATATAACATTATAGTCAGTAACTTGTTTGCTTACACCTGCTTTCATCTATTCTGTATCTGTAACCTTCCCCGCCCTAATATACTTATCCGTCCCCACTGTGCTGGCTTTATTTTTAAACTTAACTTATAAATTAACACTATAACAATTGGATTTGAATGAAAATTATGTAATTGTAATTGTATTTGTTTTTTTTTTTTTTTGCAGAAATCGTAGACAGCGTCAAAAGCCGAGAAAAATGCCTAAGACCGAGCGTGGCAGACTTGAGCTGCGACGAAGAGGTGGGCGTATTGATGAAACGGTGTTGGACCGAAGACCCGGCAGACCGGCCTGACTTTACTACCCTCAAAGCTGTCATACGCAAGTTGAACAAGTAAGTTAGCTGAACCTGCTGATAACAACATGATGATCGTCTCTTTGATCTATTTTTGTTAACACACAACAACATGCCGTCCAATTCAAACACACACCGCGCTTTTGTGACCAACGACAACTTTGGCCTTTTATCATTTCCCAGTACAATGCAATTCAAAAGTTGTTTCCCGAGTGGACTGTGTGTGTGTGTCCTTTCAAAGCAAAACCCGCATGCAAAACACATGCCGTAGCGCTTTATATACATAAGTTTATAACGTTTAATCCCGAGTGACTAATGTGTAATTCATAGAAATAAATGTATACAAGGTTGTCTAACAAAGATCTGAGAATCTTGAATTTAAAAAAGAAATAATTTAAAAAGGTAAAACAGTTGAAGAAATAAAAATTGTGGTGTTTGTTTATAGTGCAAATGAGTATAAATTAATTAAAAAATATTCTTTGTGTGACATCCTGTATGTACATATGCGTTACAGATTTGTTAATCGGTATATTTTTAAGTGCCATTGCTAACTGAAATCTATAAATCAACGACTTGCAAGTGTTTACAAAGTGACTTGAGTAACAGAAAACTTGCTAAATGACATTGTTTGTCTTAGAATTACCTATTATTATCTTGTAATTATATATATTATGATTAAGACCATATAAGCCAACGCGATTTGCGGTAGTCATGAAACAAATAAATAAATTACACTGTATTTTAGAAATTGATTTTAGGAAAACTTTTTAAAAGCCATCTGCAATTTTCCTACAGATAACAATTTAACCTACACGTTTAGCATCTTTCAGCAAGACTATGCATGCCAATGGAATGTTAAACGGGAAGAAAACGTGATACAGCTAACAATTTACCATAAAAAATAAAAAAAATACCGAAATCTATTTGAAATTTAAATTTGCGATACTGGTTTATTTTGTTCTTTTATCGAAATAATTCTACTCGAACTCGACTAAATAAATCTTTATTTTATCAAAAAATGTACATATATGACTTAAATTGCCCGTTGTTTTTCTAAAAGCATAGTCTAGTCGTCATACCAATTAAAAATTGGAAGGTTAATATCAATCAGGAAACAAAAATTCATAAAAATATAAATTAAACCATAATTTGTTGCATTAGGTGAATATATTTGCTATCATAAAAACTTTTATAAAATAATACATGGTACCTATTCCCTTTGTTAGTAATAAAAAGTCAATAATAAAAATGAAAAGTGCAAACAATATTTTATTATTATATAGCTTAATATCATATATATTTATACTCAACTGTACTTTTTCCTTAATAATTCACCTAAGGGTTTTTGTTTATTTATAATGTTAACGCCAAACGGCTTTTGGTAAAAGTGCACATAGTACATAAAACTGACAGTAACAAAAAAACATAAAACTAAAATATAGGAGTATAAAACAAAACGGTTGAACGTAAAGGCACGTTATAGTGGGGATGGTGAATTCCACTAGTTTTCTTATAATATTGTAACTACATTATTTGCTTTTTATATATTTTTTTTGCTCTCTGAAAATAATCATCAACTTTATAATTTTCGGCGGGCCAACCTTTCAGTCAAGTCAAAATAATATATTTTCCTTCTTTTTACCGTTTTTCGCTTAGGTTACAACTTACAATGTATAGTTTGTGTAAAGAAATTGAAGAGACGTTTTAGATAGGTCTTGACAGCTTTATGCAAAATTGAAAACGATATATCATTTTAAATGGGTGGCTGGCATTCTAACTCGGTATTATTATACACTGTATTGTGTAAAAAAAAAAATCCAACGCGATGTACGCTTCGCAGTTAGGATTTTTTTAAATAAAAAAAACTTTGAGAATGTAACATAACAACCTTAATTCTATTGTGACTTAGAAATTGTTATCTGGGTAAATTTTATAAATGAAACATATTCATTTAAATTTTAATTTATTTTCTTCAAATTTCATCATTATTCGTCTCCTATTTTACAGAAATAAATTGAAATTTGCATCTTAAAATTGAATTATATTCTACATTATAATGAAATTCAGTCCACAGAAACGCCATTTAAAATAAAGACCATTTATTGCAACATTGATTATGTTTAATACTAGCTTGAAGACATGCTACTATTCTAACTGTTCTAATTAGATGTAAGTGACATTTGTGAAACGGAATTTGAATAAATTTAATTAATTTCAAATAATCAATATGGAAACTATTGTTCCGCGGATCATCAGGCCGTAGTTATATTTTAGGTTTATAAATTTAGACTTACAACTTATACACCTTAGCAACGTTCAATAACTGAAAAAATGTATAAATTAAAAAATGTGTTTTTTTTTAAATCTTAGTTGTGAGTTATTATCATTCTGGAACAACCAAGTTAAACTTCATTCAATGTTCCGGTATAAGAAAAAAAAATAATAAAGATTAACATTGTTTTTACATAGTCTTTCTTTTGGAATCCCCATTGCACTGCATTCGTGTAATTTACCACTATTGTTATTACTACTAGCCGAAGGCACTATCACAGAATAAACAGAAGGGAATCTTAGAGTTTCCTGTATACTCTGTGATACTATATATTTTAGGACAAAGATGTTATGTCGGAAAATGTCTTCTGTTTTACTATAATTTTACCGGCGATTTGCATTCGAGATCTAGCTATCAGTTTTGATTTTTGTCAGTAAACGACACAACCATTGGTACCCATATAGTGTACCCATATCCTGTGTGTTATTTACACACTGTTGTTCGTACTATTTATTTTTTGATATACCGAGACAAGGCGACGCGTTGGCTGAACTGCCTTGATATTTTTAAGTGCATAAAGCACGCTGTTTTCGACACGTTAAAGCGTAAAACGTGTTAACATCCGTTTCGGAGTTATATTTCCTTTTTCGTTTCGACACTCTTTCCCGTCTAACCTTGACAATATAACGGCATCGGTTAATAAAAATTGATTATAACGTCGAAATGGATTTTGATTTTCACGAGCAACGCGCGATCGACTTGTTTTATTTGCCGATTTCGGTTGGAAGCGGTTATTCGAACTTTACTTCTAGTAATAATCCAGTGGATAATGAATAATAATTACAATAAATTCTAATTTTTTTTTACTTATTTTGCTCTCTCACTGGCCGATTCCAATCCGCCTATCGCATGTAAAGGCGTTTACGTTATAGTTATTGCTTATTATACATAATACGGCTGAATACAATAATTCATAACGGTAATACCAGCTCGACGGTGTGACGGTAACCCAATTGTTTTTCTTGTCTTTATATTACACACAATACGACCGGGGCACGATATAAATCATACCGACAATCGCACAACGCATAGTATAGTCTTACCGAAACGTGTCATCGTTTGAGCATTGTTTGTGCAAAATCTAACAACAACAAAAAAAACATTCAAAATACAAAAAAACGGAATGGCCTTTTTTAGTGTTAAACGCGCACGAGCTGTGAGACACGACATAATTGTCACAGGATTATCGCTAATCCTCCCCGTCCCCTTGCCCTTGGAGTCTGTGCCTGTTCACAGGGGATAAAAAAAAAATTCAAAAAAATGGCCGACCGTGGACAAATTGCCGCTGTTTTTTATCATTAATATTTCGGCAAACATATGTTTTGTAGCACAGCCACCGCCAGCAAGTATGTATAATATGTAAGCACCGCCAAAGTCACGTACGACCCCGGGCAAGTCCTTTTTTAGACCCCCCCGCACAACCGGAAGATGTGGGCTTAGGGTTTTTCCGCAAAAGCAATAAGAACGCGGGCCGTAAAAAAACATTAACCGCACTATCCGCGGATGGTAGGTGTACCTAACGTGTGTGTGTGTGTACATACATATAGTGTATACTGTATAATACTATGTACACGAATCAAATAGCGTTTTACTACTATCCGGCGAGATAGGATATTATGTCGACCCTGGGTTTCAGTCGACCACGCACGACCGGTTAATGCGCTTAAAATTAATACCCTGACCAAACGGCAGTCCGCAGCCGGGGAAGATAGTGTGTGGGCGATTGTTAACCCTAATCGCTCTGGGAACTCTGGATAGCACTTGAAACCAATGGCAATATTAAAACGAGTTTTGCATACTTAACCTAACCTGGTATGCGGTTATAGGTTACAGCAACAAGCAAATTAGAAACGGCCGGCACCTTTTTCGACCAAAATACTTACAAATAAATTACTAAATATTTGACAACCGACGATTAAATATATATATATATTAAACAATACAGCTGTATACACCCTAATTGAACCATAATATACATTATACGATTTTTTTAGACTGTCTAAGTGATAACGACAATATATTATAATATATACTCGATTAAACAGGGTAAGGAATAGTTTTTCACCGGTCTATTGGCAACGACATTTCTGAAGTGCAATAAAAGCTGCTCGGTAAATATGGTTATTTATATAGTATTATTATCACGTAAGTACAACATAATCGCACTGAGAGTTAGTCAACAACAAAGTTCTACTAGCGTGTACTAATTAAATTTCAATACACATAATAATATTTAATAATACAACATTTAAATCGCTAAGCATACTAAACCAATTACAGGAATAAAATATGATAATATTCTAAAATTCTGTTGACGACGACATATTTTAAACGTCTCGAAAAGCAGACAAAAAATATTTAAAAACTCTTTATAGCACCTACTCTGGGCAGGGTGTCTTCATTTACATACTTAAAAGAATATATTTATTCAGGATCCTGTAAAAAATTGTAAACTAATTGCTTTACTTAAAAATATTGTTTTAAGGACCACGGTTTAGAATTTTAATGAGGATCCATAAAACCGTAAAAAAGATTAAGTAATCGGACCGTTTAACTTTGTTTTTCCAATTAATTAATAATATTTAAAAACTTAACCGGCGGTAATTTTATACCGGCAGTTGGTAAATGGCAAATGATTAATTCGACACAATATGTATTCGGTTTGTAAGCACTATATATTGATCGCCCGATAATAAGAAAAAATAAGGAAAAATTGTATCTTATCTGGGAAAGACGGTTTCTATTACATATCACACCCCGAAGAACAGGGCTCAGCTACTGCAGGCGTTAATGAAATCAAAAAATCTATCACTTGCCGGCAGTGTTGAAGTTATTACACTCAACGTAAATGAAATGTTATTTCACCATTTTGCAACACTTGTACGCTTTTTCGGGTAAAACTTTTGTCATTACAAAAGTTAATAAACAATTAAAACCGTTCGCGCATAACTATGCTCGAGCTCGCAGCTTTAAATACAGTTAATGTGTTAAATAATAATAATCATGAAGCAAACACTAAATTAGAATTGTGGTTAATTTCACTGAACACCGGATCATCGGTTATCACCGGCTTAACCAAAAGGTTTACGGTTTACCTGTTGGAGAATTACTTTTGCCTTTTTCAAAACCACAACGTATTTGTCATTTTTTTTTTCAGAGATTACGAAAGCAACAATATACTAGACAATTTGCTATCTCGTATGGAACAATACGCCAACAACTTAGAGGCACTGGTCGAAGAAAGAACGGCAGATTATTTGGAAGAAAAAAGAAAGTGCGAAGAGTTGCTGTACCAGCTGCTGCCCAAGTAAGAACACCGCTATAATATTATGTACACTATGACTTACTAGAATAAATTATTCAAATGCAAAATACATGCAAAACATCTGCTCCGCTTAAGAGGATGCAGGTACAATATTTTTTAAGAGTTTTAGGGCGCACAACAAGACTTGTTGTGTTGGGAGGTTAACACTATAAAAGCTGGTTGGACTTTGGTGTTTTAAAATTCTACCTATCTAGTTATTCGATCGCCAGCAGCACAATATATAACGTTATTATGCAGATAAAAGAAAATAATAATAATAATAAACTTTATAGCGGCGAGTATAAAAATCGAAAACAAAAGGAAATATTATCATCCGCTCGGTTTTCCCTTATTCTCAGACAGCAATAGTAGACGCCGTCAATGATCCGGCAAAATCCCTAACGAGCACACTTCCAAACACACAGTTATACAAATAATACACACAAACCGGCAAATACAAAAATAATGGTCGATTGTATTCGCACAAACACACACACACATCTATTGAGATAATCCCTTACGCATCATTAACCCTAAGCCCACTATTCGAAATGAGATAAACTTTCCTCTTTTACTTTTCATTTTACACGCATACATTACGATACGGTCTGTCTTATTGTTTTAAAACATAAAAACTGGAGTTTGAGTGATTGATAACCGGATTTAAATGTATTTTACTTCTTGAATCTAATACCTGTCTCGATAAAGTAGAAAATGTATTATGCCAAATAATAAAAATAAAATTGCACGAGACAAATAATTTTTGTCACTGTCCGCTGGTCAATGTTTTTAGTTAAAATTACATTTGGATTTTAAAACAAAGTACTCTTTAATACACAAATGGTACAACTATATATATATGTATAGGTATTGAACTGAATTTGAAATTTTTTAACAACGTTGACCTACTTGGATTCCTCTTAAAGTACCGAACAAATAAATTGAATTCTAATTAAAGTATTAAATCCTGAAAAAATACCAGAGATTCACTTATTTTTTATTTATATAAAACGTTGAAATAAACTAAAAGTCGAATAAATAAGTCTAACCGACCCTTCCACTGGAAGCGTGTCTTAACTTAAAAAAGTGTCTTGAAAAAATTTGTGACACACTTTATATTATATTTTAAAATACATGACAATTCATACAAATTATTTTATAATATTTACTCATTTGGAAATACTTATTAGTGACTTTTTGAGTTCAAGGTACAAAACATAGTACAATTAAAAATAAAAATAAATTCATTTTTTTTTTTTGACGAGGCCGCTAAGAGAAGTTTTCAAGTGAAACATTATCGCCACCAATTTTCCATTAAAACATAATCATGTCGAGGTTTTGAATTTTATATTTGAATTGCTAAAAAATAAAGTGTATGAATAAATATTTCTTCGTTATGGTTTTTTTTTTTATCAGATGTGAATTCCATTTTTTAAAATGTACTCTACATGTCGCTGTGAAACAGATTTAATAGTATTATTATAATATTATGCTTTTTCCATTATTCAAGAGCACTTTTATTAATAGAATGTATGAAATTGTTCAGTGCCTAATTGAGTCAGAAGGCGTGTTCGAACTGAAGGAGACCTCTTTAATCCGTGAAATCCACTTACTAATCAAAATATACTTCAAATATAATTTAATAGGTTTGTTACCTCCTAGGAAACCGACCAAATCCTAGTTCTTTAGATAATTCTGAATTACTAACTTGAAATTCGGCAGCGAGTAGCGATAATGACGTACTTCTATGGTTTCCATAGAACAATATCCATAGAAAAAAATCCAAAAATGTGTACACATTTACTGTACCAAATTAAAAATATTTATATACCAAATTCAACGAAGAGCGTTACAAGGTACCGAACGGGTATTAAAAACGATTTCCTGCCCAAATCGTCGCCCAAGTCTCGCGGGACACTGAAATAACTGCAATATATTAACAGGAAATCGTTTATGTGTGTACATTATACACCAGCTATGAAGCAGTCTCAATACCTCATGAGATGTTAGACTTTTTTTATAAGTTCATATAGTTAATAGTTGGCCAAATTTTAAAATCAATTTTCAAAAATAAAACTTGACTTGACTTTTTTAATTAAACAATAATTATTTGCTGCCAATTTTGACTGGTCCATAACCAGTTACGAATATAATTACGTTGAAAAGTTATTAGGAAGAATAGAGTGGTCAAGGACTTGAAAGAACTTGGAACAGAGAATGGGGTAGAACTGGCGAGAGACGGAGACCGATGGAGGCAAGTGGTTGTTGCGGCAATGGCCCTAAATGGCCTGTAAAAGCTTCAAAAAAGAAGAAGAGAAGCTATTAAATTTTGGGATGGGCGGGAGGGTAGAGTGAAGTTGAATATTTAATTTCATAGGGTTTTGACGCATGAGGGGTGTTTGGATATAATATATAGCTGATAAATGTATCACATTTGGTCTTACTGTGAAAGTATGAGAAAAAAAGTCTACTATCTTTTGAGGATATCACCCTATATATGTTATATAAAAATACAGTTACGCGCAGAGAGTCAATATCGCACGATGGAAATCTTATTTGATTTTCATCCGAGCTCTCTCAGACACCGAAGAAAATTGAAAGCCAACACGCGTGTATGGCAGATGATAATAATATGACAGATTCACAGTAGAATATTTATTTATATTTTTCTGGAAACCTGTCAAATCGCAATGATACACCTTTTACTCGGCGGCGGCACTCTAAATAATCAACACATCTACTCAATGTTAATACATTTTTCATCTATAATATATTAGACAAATTATGGTGTGCAGCAAAACAAACACTAACAAATCATGATAGACATGGAATAATATAGTTACAATGAGTTAAAGGAATTGCTAGAGAATGACAAAGTAAATTAATCTGTCCGTTTAATTTTCTGAATTATTTCTTCACAATAAAACGTTGCCCTCAGGTTTAAGATTTTTAAATTCCACGAAAATTATATTTTTTTGTGTTATCTTTCAAAAACTAATTAAATATAAAATATTTAGGGCCAAACAATAATAAGTTTTTATTTGTTATTCTACGGTCACGGTTTATGATGATTTTCCTTTAAGTACATATTTTGTCGCGCATAGAAAACAAGATTCCTGCTTAAAAATTAAACGTTTAATTAAATATAAAATGCCGAAAAAAATTTACATTGCCTCCTTTTTTTTTTTTTACATAATATATCTTAAAAAAAACTTGCACTTCAAAACGAATTTTTTTTCAATTGATCATTAGAGTTCATAAATACAAAAGAGTCATAAAACAACCTTCGGAAATATACTATACAAATGTTTATTATAAGTAATTGAATTTATTGTTCTTATTCAAACTATAAAACTTAATCAAAGGAGCTTGGCTGGCACGCAGTATTTTAATCCTATTAAGTGTATTTAATAATAACGATTGATGTATAATTTGACAGCTTGTAATAATTGATTGAACAATGTTATTTATTAAATTGAATTGAAATATTTAAAGTATTTTTTTTTTTTACTAAAATCGCTTCTAAGGAGAAAAATCCACTACCCGCATTTATGTGATAAAATAATTTTGTTTTTTAACTGTAAAGAGAAACGAAACAAGGCAACGGAAAAAACGCGCTGTTATTGTGCAAAAATCAATAAGTTGGAAATTTAAAAATGTTTGTTTTATTCCCAACGAAAATAAATTACAATTTTTGTTTCCATTTGTTTGTTTGAATTGCAACGTTCGGATTTTCTTCTATACATAGTAATAATATGATGTCGGCAGCTTTTAACTTTTTTTCTACTAAAATATGTATTGTATTTTTCGTATACTCCTCTCTAGGTAGGTACAATATGTACAACAATAACTTTACCCAATCGCTTAACGGTAGTTCAACCAAAGGAATATAATAAAAAAAAAAAATGTCGGGAAGTGAACTAGTGAAGATAAAACAAAACAAAAAGTGACCTTGACCCGCATCGGTATATTAATATTATAGTATACCATTGTTTAGAATTACCCTCAAAACGATGAAATACATCAATTTTTTTATTGTAAAAAAATATTATACAACTGCAACAGCCACGACGCTATAAAATAAAAAAAGATAAAAAAAACAAATCGGTTATATGTGTGTGAATGTACAAACGGGTTCCATTTGGAGGCCATTAAAAACTTTCCCAAGTCCAGTTGCTAGAAGTTACATTAGAAGACTTAAAATTCCTTCTTCGAGAATACTTGAAAAATTACAGTTAGAACTCGACTGGTGCATATCACAAAACGTGGAACTCGGTAAATCAGTTGGACGGGAAGTCCGTTTGATGGATCTGCCTTCGAAGTTGGTGAGGATATTAGTGGTTTTCAAGAAGAACTTCTCGATCTGCGAGCTAAACAAGTTTTAAAAGACAATTTTTCTCAATAGTGTCAAACTCAATTTTGGGCACAGCCCAAAGACAAAACTATTTTAGCATATGTGAAACTGGGTTGGCCGACAGTGGCAGAGCGAAATAAACGCTAAATTAAATAAACGACACGTTCCATAATTAACCATAATGGTGGTGAAAACGTGTAAAACCGTTGTTAATGTTTGCCATTCACTCCTGAAAAATAATTGAAAAGTTTGAGAACCGCTGGACCGAAGAAATCGCTGACTGAGTGGCCCTTTAGTAGAACGATGAGCAATCTTCGCACTAGATTTGCATAATAATCAGTTCTTTATCGACTTTCGGTGCAAGAGAAACGCTTTAGCGTTAATTAATTTACCATCGTTAAATTCCTCTTATCGATCGCATTTCAACGGTACCCAAGTAATGAACTTTGCGAAACTATCTCCTTCGCCTTATCCCACACAATAATTAGTAAGGTTCGGGTGTCGGCCACTTTACACGCACACCGTCCGTTTACAAACCCGTACCTAGAGCGCGTAATATATGTAATATAATTAATGTATATCATTACGACTTTTTTGTGCCAGTCGAAACTTTGTTATCGGGTACTTTGTGTCGGGAATTACCGTCGGGATTTTCGGATTTGATTAGCAAACCCTAAAGTGACATCTCTAAGACGGTAAGTAAATCATTGGGTTAGGTTAGGTTAGGTTAGATTTAGGTTCTCACTATTATATCATATGTCTATCACGGTGTAGGTCAGCCGTGAGCCTGTTGATTTATTTATTTTGTTCCTCATCCTACTTTCTTCTCCAATCATTCCAACCTAAGCAATCCCATCTTGGCTACACTCATTCTCTCTGTACATTTTCCCCAACTTAACTTTGAGTTTAATACAGCTGTTTATGCTGTATTAAACGGTTTTTTTTTAATTTTTAAAAAATGTGTGTTTTGCTTTCAAAGGTCCGTGGCCAGTCAATTGATTCTAGGTCAATCGGTAGTAGCTGAGACCTACGACAACGTGACCATTTACTTCAGCGACATCGTGGGTTTCACTTCGTTGAGCGCCGAAAGTACACCGCTCCAAGTCGTCGACTTGCTCAACGACCTCTACACGTGCTTTGACTCCATCATAGAAAATTTCGACGTGTACAAGGTGATAACAGCGATAATAATAGGATAAACCACTTTAATTTAATATGAAGGGCACAGGGGAAAAACGGTAGATGTCACATAATAAAAATTTTAGAGTATAGCAAACCTACAGTATAGTATTATAGTATAGTATAGTATAGTATTCCTCTACCCCTTACATAAGAACAAAAAAAACACATTAAATGCTACTCTAATAATAAATGTATTTATTTAAACAATCTATTGACGTAAATAAAACAAATTATTGGCATAAATTGAAAAAACCTATATGAAAAAAAAAATGTTCATAATGTGACAACTACCGTTTTTTCCCTTTGCCCTTCATATGTTATGGAACGCGTATTGCCTATGGTGCTGCTTATGAAAATGTCAACAAGTAGGAGGCTGCCATTTTATGAACAGTTATTCTTTTGTCCATGATGTGACGATTTAAATAAAAATCAGTAGCCATTTTGTTGGAGGAATTGTACTAACATTGTTTATATATGTATGTATATAAAAATACACTGATTTTTCCTCCAACAAGATGGCAGACTGATTTCGACGGTGGCATAATATGCTGCCCGTGTATTTTTTTTTTATCAGTGTCCATTATGATTTATTTATTCTGTGATATTATCATCGCCTAACCTAACATTTTAACATGTATCATGGAAAAGTAACGTAGAATTTTTACTTTCCATGAAATTGGTATACAAAATGGCTGCACGTGTTCCACATATTGCAATTCAATGGTTTGAACAACAACAATAATAGCTAATATTTTAGGCCGAACAGCAGATTTTCAACCGCACAAAACTCGAAATGTTATTTATTATTTGTTCTACGATTATCTCACAAGGTTAACAGGAAACATATTAATTGTGGGTTCGCAGGTGGAGACCATAGGAGATGCTTATATGGTCGTGTCGGGGCTTCCTGTCCGAAACGGTAATTTGCACGCCAGAGAGATAGCCCGCATGTCGTTGGCACTTCGGTCGGCCGTACACAGTTTCACCATTAAGCACCGCCCGGACGACCAGCTCAAGCTACGCATTGGCATGCACACCGGTAAGTCTAAACCGCAGCCACCGCGTTTACAGATCCGATTCGATAATGGCTTTTACATTGTTTTTCGATGGAAAAAAAACACTTAGGACCGAAAGACCTTGCTTTTGTTTCACCACCGCACCAAATGCGAGCGAGTAGGTACCATAGAAATTGTTGCAAAACAGAATTTCATGCTTACTTCGACGATTCTTTTAGACGGCTGGGCATAAAAACGTCGATAATACGTGTTCAATTGAACTATTTATTATACAGGGTGTCCCATAAAGAATGGTAGAGTTTCAAACGGCTGTGGGTAGTGAAGTATTGGACCTACAGCGCTCTGGCATGACTTAAATGAAAGAGGGAGTTGTCAAATTTCGAATGACTGCCACTAGATGTCTCTGGCACTAGATGTTTCATAGTCGTAACTGAATTACGCTTCGCCAACTTGATTACTTCTCTTGCCATCTTAACAAACTGAACAATGAAGGCTGGTGACACAAACGGGAACTTTGAGAGATGTCTAGTGGTAGTCGTTCGAAACTTGACAACTCCCTCTTTCATTCAAGCCCTACCAGAGTGCTGTAGGTCCAATACTTCACCACCTACAACCGTTTGAAACCCCACCATTCTTTTTTTATACACCCTGTATTAAGGTGCGACTTTAGGTATTAACACAGAATAATCACAAGGGAATCTTAGATCAGACATATTGATAAATAGCGCAATGATGCCAGAACGCAGATATTGCTTTTTTTATTATTCTGTTTTTTCACTTCTCCTAAAAAAAAGATCTAACGTCGACTCATTTCTGCCATTGACTCCTAAATGTCCTGTCCGATCTCATCGGCTCAGCTATACATCATTTAAAGCATATTATTAATTGTATGTTATAAAATATTATAATTAAAGTAAGAATAATTTTAAAACGTATTTTTTAATAATCATAATTTAACAATTAGGTAGTTCGTACATTTTCGTTATCACCAAAAAACTGAACACTGGAAAAATACATAGTTGGTCCAACTGAAATAATGGTTAATATAGGGACACAATACATTTCTAGTTGGAATGACTAAATAAATAGTTGGCCCAACTAAATGTATAATTGCTTTAACTAAACATTTAGTTGGCCCAGCTATTTATTTAGTTATTCCAACTAGACATTTATTATGTCCCTAAACTTACCGTCAAATAAAATCACAACAAATCTTTTTTTTTTATTGCGGATTACATTTCTACGGCCAAGAAAAACATTACAAGATCTGAAGGGCTAATCGATACTACGCTGTCCGGTATTATCACCATGGCCTAAGTCGTATACTTTTATTGGTCGTGTATACGTTAATTGTACGTTATTATGTTACTGCGGGCTAGTTACAAACGCCCTGATGACGGATCAAGTGCCGTGGAGAAGGCAATGTATAAAAACAAAACAAAAAATGTTTTAATGACACTTTTCATGGACTGCAACGGCCTCGAAATAAGACAAATGTATTTTCGAATAAACGAAAAAAAAAGAAACAGTTGAGACTGAAAGATTATTTGCCCGGAACGACGTGGACGTCCCGAGCGAATCTCAAAAAGGCACTTTAATGGCACTCCTCGTCAAAGTCTTGACGCCAACAAAAAAAAAATTGTATTTACAGAAAAACAATATAATATAGGTATTATTTTAAAAACCACCGAAAGACGAGGCCAAGCGAAATTGACGGACATTTGATTTTCATTCCAATATAATTCATATACGATGGTATTTTAATACAACCCTATAATAATATGCTCGGCCCAGATGTTCAGCAGACACGTGAAAGTCCAAATCAAATAGTTTTTTTGTTTCATTTTATTGACAGCTGAGAAAAAAATCGCATCGTCTCGGGGTGGCGCCAAAACCGTTCAATCAACTTGAATAAAAAAAATAAAATAAAAATCGGCCAATAGTAGTAGCTCCCCATACGATTTAATATCAAAATCGAAATCCGTTTAAAGTACAAATATAAATAATAATATAATATATTAAATTGTATAGCTGCTATTTTATAGTATCTACTATATTATATTATACTATCTCAAACGGATCCCCGTTGTAAACACATACTTTTAAAAACGTCGCGTAAGTCTTCCTAACTGCGCATTTTGTATGATATACAGAATCAATTTTTTTTTTAAGTTTCTATTTTTTTTATTATTATTATTATTATTAATATTATTGTCCCTTTTCCGGCGCTGTGTTGTTATTGTTTTTACAGTATTATTAGGATCAGATGTCGTGATAACGCCAAGGTCCTCACGCATCGCAAACAACGAGCATTGAATAGATTTGTTTTTGGGGGTTTTGTTTAACGATACGACCATTCCGTTCTAATAGTAGTGTTGGCGAATTTGGGATGCAGCTTTTGGCACGTTACCATAATGGTTGCAAATGGAAATATTTGTTTTTTTTGTCATTTTTTTTTTACAAATGTATGCGCAAAAGGGCGCAGCTGTACGATTTTTTTTTTTTTTTTGTCATTACTGTTATTGCTTATTTTTCACTCGAGTCTCATACTGTTTTTTTATCAAGGGTGACATGATTGTCTAGATAAAAAAAAAGAAAGAAAGAAATCTCTCCCCACGATGAGTTACACTACAATCGTATAAAATGAAATTCTTTCAAACCATACACTTATAGTCTAAAACCCTATTTTTTCGTTTGTTTGAACCTGACCTGACTAAACGCGTAAACCCAGTGCAATTGAACTACCTTCGCTAGTTTAAACTGAAATAACTATTTGTTTTGGACATTATGAATAATTAATAAACACACATGGATTACATCACCAAAACTTGGGATTGTAACAGTTATATTTTGGTCCAGTTGTCTATAAGATTTTAAATTCTATCATTCGGTCAATATTCAATGTTTTATACTAAATGATACAAAATAAATATCTCTAAACTGACTATTTAAAAAAATACTTATAACTCAAATTAAATACACTGACAGTATAACTAGTGAAAACATTGTATAAACCTCCGGTCCTTTAACATTTAAATGTTGATATTTACTCAAGTAGTTATTTTTTTGCTTGAGAAAACTTCTGAATACCTTGCTGACAACGTACCCAACCTGACTTCGATTTAATCGGAAATATAGATATTGCTGCGGGTAAGTTTCGGTTGATAGTAATAGTTCTAACTTCTATACAGATAAAGAAATCACGCTAAACGCCTCGTTGCTAATTGTCTTTTGTGTAGTATGTAAACACAATATTTTACATGTTCTCGAAAAAATCTAACAATAAAAATACCTGTACGGCCTTTTTTAGAGGTTTTTGTTTTGCTTGATTGGCCTTCAGAATTTTCTAACCGCATTTTCCGTGTTAAAGCTATTTGGTACATATTCTACCATTTTTCTTTTGTCGAAACCGTTGTTAAGAAGCATTATTCGCTCGTGTGAATCCAATGCTACAAATATCTGTACTACGTCAACACGAATTTGTCGTTAGAGTTATTTTTTCAAAAATCCAAAATGGAAACGCATTTAAACAGTGTGCACGTTCCCTTCTCCGAGGAAACATTTACACTTGGGTGACGCAACGCTATGTATCGTCGGCAAGTGTTTTATTTTGGCCATTATATAATTTTTCGTTATTTCTAGAATGATATAACGTCGAGTACCTGCTGTTGAAAGTTTTTTTTTTTTAATAAATCACTTGTTCGGTGCTTGCGTAATACAGTTCTATATAATCCCAAGGCGAACATAACAAGTCTCTAAAGAGGCATAAACTTTAAAAGAAAACCAACTTATATAAATCTAGTACCACTGTACAAAAGTCCTCGTGGTCGTTACGCTCTAAATCTTTTTCCGTTTGTCTAAACATATTATTTTCGCACGCGTGTGTCCTAATAATGTTAACCAATCGATGAATGTCCGACTGTGTAGATAATCCTCTTATTATTATTACTATGCTAAGCTTTTGTTGCGTATTTATACCGCGCAGACGGATTAAGAAAATATACCAAGTACCTACTCAAAATCCAAAAGCAATGTTTATACAGTAACGGGTGAATGTAATAATTGAGACAACTTTTAATTTTAATTTAGCTTAAGGAATTTTAATACTCCTCTAATGGTAACCTCCACATTTAAGACATCCTTGAAAGTGTTGATACGTTTAAAGTTTAATTAATATTTAAGATGAGAGAATAATTATTGTATGATTCTGTATTATTTTTAATTTGGTAAATAATTTTGGTGTTTTTCTAGGACCGTGCGTCGCCGGAGTGGTTGGACTTAAAATGCCCAGGTACTGTCTGTTCGGAGACACTGTCAACACGGCATCCAGAATGGAATCCAACGGTCAAGGTACAATTTAAAAATATACATTTATATAGATGGATGTATTTGTGTATGTGCTTATTATTATATATATCTATATACAAACGTTCGGTCATTTGTTATGTCGAGCACATTAATGTCCTACGACCATGTTGAAACTGCCCCGAAAATTCGCCAACAATGTCCGTACTGTGCTTGCTCGTCCGTTATCATTTGGGTCAAAGCATACTCCTGTGATGTATTGTATTTAAAATGATTATTGTCCTCTCGTCGCGTTTTGGAATTGCATTCCAAACTCGTTAACAACCCGACCCGACCCGACCGTTCCAAGTGTTGTATAATATTATTATACTTGTACACTTGTATATTTATTGGGACAAACGATTATTCGACATTATGTTTGCTTTCATGGTCGACTTGCGAACGAACAAAATCCGACCACGCAGGAGGAGCTAAAAAGAAAATATACTATACCCCGTTCCACGAGAGAACGCACCTGCGCAGTTGCCAATACGCGTTACTCTTGGCTGCGCAATACACGTAGTGCACACATACATCATACAGCAAACATACATCACTATACAAGTTCAATTATTACATTGAAAAATGTTTGTTTGTTTTCACAGCGTTGCGGATTCACGTGAGCCCGCAAACAAAAGAGGTGCTAGACACATTCGGCACGTTCGACTTGGAGCTCAGGGGTGAAATCGAGATGAAGGTAAAAATTTAATCTATTAATACTTTCTCAGAATATCCATTACCGGAGTTCGCTTTAAATGCGTTCACCGAGTTCTGCCTCAGCCAGGGCTAATGTCGTTACACCGAATAGAGAATAGTACCGACAACAATAGTTGATTCTACTAAAAATCTATTTACACACATAAATAATATTAGTAAATTTCGCGAAATTCAACTTGTCATACAAAAAGCTTAGACCCATATTAGACTATAGCTAATAGTAGGGTATCAAATTTTCAGTTGTTCGAGTTCACTAGAGATGGTTTATAACTCTTTGAAAGGCAAAAAAAAATGTCACCAATATAAGACTCTTAAGGGACAAGATAAATGCGTTAAAAACAGCAAAATGATAGGATAAAAAAGAAAACTACGAGTATGAGGCTAGTGATATTCACTATTACCCACCGTCGGAAAAAAAATATAAGTGGGCAATAACAAAAGTAGTTAGTACTTAGTATACTAACCACCGCCCCTCAAAGAGTTGAAATATTTATTTTTACCGAAAGAAATCAAAATTCAATCTGGCATCAATAGTTTCAGGGTTATCAGTGATGGTCTAATTTAAGGTCAGGTAATTTAAAGAAAACAATAAAATAGGAAATTTTCTAGGAATAATTCGGCCAATATTGTTATTCTATATTCATCTTCGGTCTTAAATAATCTCTAGGATTCGTCTGAGCTAGTTTTGACATTTTCAGATCCTGTATTTTTATACCTCTGATGACAGATTTTTGTTTTTTTTTCCTCTACAGGGTAAAGGTAAAGTAACAACGTATTGGCTGCTTGGCGAAAAGACCCCGGCTGCCGAAATGGCCACGGCTGCTGCTGTGGCCAACAACACGGCTGTGACCACGGGAGTGCCGAACGCCTTGCAAGGATCTTTCAGCAAAATGCACGCCAACAGCAACAGCGTAGGATCTTCGTCGACCAAATCGGTGGCCAACAGTATTGCCAACCACAACAACATAAGCGCGTCGACGCCATTGTTGCAGGGCGACAACGGTTAGATTCGAATGTAAATGGAAAAGTAAATTATCTACTAACAAAATAAAAAATACCCACCGTCTGTATAAAAATGTGTACTCGGCCCCGAAAACCCCGTTTATAATTATCTATCTTCGCTGACCCCAGTAGAGCCGAACATCCACAATATAATAATTAACATATTTTATATTAGGTGCTCAACGCTCTAAAAACAAAATTCATCGTTAAATTGTGTAAATAATCGCCTACTCTACTATATTATATACTTTAAAAACTATAACATTTAGGTACTAGATCAGGTACCGTATACAGTAACAGTATTGACAATTGACTTGAGGTTAATTGTTAATATTCAATTGTAATATAATACATAATTTGTTTATATAACGCGGTGATGATTGCTGACCATTTGTATACAGCATAAAACGACTGGATTCGCATGGGAAAATATCTAATAAAATGTGTACTTAGATAATTATGATAATTTTGCTGTTACCTATAAAATGGTTACCATAGGGTTGTCGAAAGTCCGTCGCTATATCCAGTGAATGTAATTCTCAGAGTAACCGCTATTTTCGCGGCTAAGTCTTCATATAGCCGATGTAGAACTTATGAATGTATTGTATAAATACTGAAATCGTCATAAGAAAGCCAAACCGTTAAAATATTGTTAGCGATGCCAAAGCAAGCGATCGCCCTCCATCTCAACCGTGTTCGACTAACCCGCTAAGGGTGATTTTTCCGACTCTATAATAAATAATATTTTCCACCTAATAAACATATAGTTTCAATTTAGTACTCATAACGCATAATGTACACCGTTTTAGGTGTTTTCTTTTTTAGATGGTCGGATTGTTCTATATTTTGGCTTCGACTACTGTTTTTTATTACTCATTACAATAGGATAATAAATATTGTATAAATTATAATAGTATTTGACCGCACTTAAAAAAAAATATATATATATATACACACACACAAATAAAGTATTATTAAAACCATTGATCACTGTAGTTGGTGTTGTTCTACATACAACTTGAATATTATAATAACATTATAGAATGAAACTACCAAATTTATTTTTATGTACCTAAACGTCGTTGATATAATTTGAGATGTTTAATACAACAATTTAATACATAAATATGTATGTATGTATATAATTTTCATTTGTCCTAAGTGTTTTGTGATTTAAAAATATTTTAATCTTAACGGTTTAAAATAATTAATAGTTTATGGAGAATATATTATATATTATTTCGCCCCCCTACCCACTTTTACTAGACCTAGAACTTTAGACTGTTTAATTATTATTAATAGTGGAAGACCAAATTGATTTTTTGTTGTTATCAGATATTATTAGGTATTATTAACTACCCTTGTTATATAATATATTAATATCCCCTGTCTGTGCCCACCAAGGTCTTCGACTGTTTACATACCACTAAATTATGTATTTTGTTGTACCTTTATTTTATAATTTCTTTTTTTTTTAACTAATTGAAATATACCTTTTAAATATTAACTGTATTTATTTAAGTGTATAGTATGTTGTCTTAATAGATTAGTGATTGTAATTATTTTATTATTAAAAATCCCATACATACCTACGTCTTGTGGCACTTTAAAACTATTTAGGTAGGTAGGTACGTTTAAAACGAAATTTGATTGTGTATATTCGATGTGATTTTAGGTTAGGAGTATTTCAATTTTTATTTTTCACCTTTTTTTTGTAATTATTGTATCAATAAATTTGAAATATTATAATATAATACATAAATACATTTGCGCGTGGAAACCGCATTTTATACCTAACCGAAGAAAATATTTAAATGTTTAAAATAAATAATATTAATTAGAACCGGCGCAACAATTTATTTTTTTAACACTTATTCTATGACAATCACCAAAACATTTAAATCATTAGATGCAATTTTTTTTTTGTATTTTACTCTATAGCCGAGCTGTATAATTTTTTTATTTTTTTACCCGGTACCTGATCAATCATAATATATGTGTTTGTAATTGATAAAAATCAAGGCGTATATATATATATATATATATAGAGGTATCTCATGATCTCATTTTCCCTCATTATTAATTATTATAATTATTACTTTAAAATTCGTATTGATTTACTTTTTATTATTATTACTATTATTAGAATTACGTTGTATATTAGCTTTATTCTCTTTTTCGTGCAAATTTATCAGATGTAATACTTTATTATTAGTATTATTATTTTTATATGCGAAATTACACATTTTATTTCCTCCCAAACGGCATTATTTAGCTCGATAACACATACATACAATTGATATGAATAAGCTATTTTTTTTTTTAGTTTTATAACAATTTGTATAATAGGGAAAAAATGTCACGTTAATGTTGGTAAGTATAAAGATAGAGTATAGAGTTAAAATAATATAATATTATAATAAACGAGTATTGTTGAATTGTATTTAAAAAAAATATATAAAACCAGTCGACTTTGTTTGAATAGAACAATAGTATGATATTATCATTGTAATGTGTTGTAAAATTAATAGGTATTATCTATATATTTAATCGACGACGTTGTAAGATGAATTTTTCACGTGTAGTTGCAACGATAATAATAATAACAATAATAATAATAATAATACTATTATATTATACATATTGTACTATACTATAATACTACATGTTGTATTAAAATTATTATTGTAACCCGTACGGTTAAAACCATATAAATCGGTGAGAAACGCTGGAGAAAAAATTTAAAAAGGGTTGTAAAATGTTTTACTATATTATATAAAATGCGATGCGGAATTATTGTTAATGTTATAATATTATACATTAAAAAAATTAATCTTAGAAGAAAAAAAATTACCGATATTGTTTGTGTATTATTATTATTATTATTATTATATGTGACCCGTCAAGTGTCGTTTGCCATCGGATGACAACGTACCTATATTTATACATTATATATTATTTGTATAGTATGTATAAATAATTTGATATAATATATAATAAATACATATATATATATATATATATAATAATATATATATATATATTATAATAATATGTTAACAAAAAAATACACGGCACGTGGCGATTTATAAGAAAACACAATGCGACTACCGCATTTTCATATTAATATACTTAAAGTGTATTTTTTTTAAAGGATTTTCAATAAAATTCTTTGCTTTATTTTTATTCTACTATTATAATTATTATAATATTTAGCCATGTTAAATACCAGCAAAAGAGGGCAAAACGTACTTGTACTTATCTATAATTGTTTTTGTTTAATTTAATTGTTTGTTATGCTTTAACGAGCCCGCCTCGAACTCGGATATTATGTTTTTATTTAAAGACTTGGCGTTAGGGCGTGCGGAAAGAAGGAAATTATCCAATTACTTAACTCTCTTATGAAAATAGCCATATTGGGTATAAATCGTCCCGTATCCGACCGCATATTATGCGTTCTATATTATAATAAAAATTGTGTATATAAGCTAGTCTTTTACTTATATGATAATAATATATATCTAGATGATTTCATTAAAACATGTATTAGAATTACTGTATGTCTGTATTGATTGTGTTTTCATTTTGAAATATATATATATATATATATTATAATTGCGAGTAATTATAGATGTTAAATATAATCTGATTGGAGACGATGCGTTTTTTTATTTAAAATTTTTCAATTTTAGCGGCAGACAAGAGCCGAGGGCAAGATTGAGTGTTAAATATCGACCCGGAGTAAAGGTCGGCCTTTACTGGGTGGGTCGGTTGAGGTATCCAATTCGAAATGTCACACAGGAAAAAGTGGCAAAATTAAAGTAGCCTCCGTATCATTAATTATAAACCAAGACGTTTTATTTTGGTCTCGGGTCGAAAATGCCAAATGCGTTTCGAGTGGACTTTAATTTCAAGACATTTTATACCGGAAGTCTTGGCCTATACACAAGGTCAATTAAACTGTAATATATAAATTAATAGTTAACAACGATGTTCGAATTAAAGGTAACAATCTCGTTAAGTTATATAATTTAGATTTAGAAACTGATTTTAAAGAAAATATACTTCAATTTATACACAATGTTAAAAATCGGACCCGAAATTGCGTGATGTCGATAATCGTAAGCTTAAGAAACTTTATAATTGTAAATAAATTCCGGTTGATGAAATTCCACATCAAGTAGTAATCGTGTTCGCTTCTGAGAATCCAGACATGGTTGAAGACACGATGCCGATGGAGAAGCCAGGGTTTTTAATATTTTTCCATAATACTGGAATTACAGTACAATAAAGTTTATGTATTATATGGATTGAGAAATGTATTTTATATAAGTTATAACATTTTCCCTTTATTTTAATTAATTATTCAACATATTTAGAAAGTTCTAAGATACCTACCACTGAATAATATTTTCGAGATTTATTTGCTCTTCATATGTCCATCCAGATATTATATGTACCTATCTATCTATTCAATACTACCTAATAAATACACTGGGATCAAACCATTTTAAAAAGTTAAACGGTTTATTTGTATTATTTTAGATATAATACCTACAGTCTTTTAAAAATGTCTGAACTTCAACTTAAAGTTATTAGGTTGTTCAGGTTGCTCTAGGACAAAATTTAAAATTATGTATAAAATAATATGTAATTGACTATGTATTGATGTAAGTGTAGATATTAAAAAAAGAAATATTAATTGTACTCATAACGTCGTTATATACTCAAACAAAATGTGAACCGGATTTGAGGGATTTCCATAATAAACCTTTTAAGAAAATATTGTCTTTTAATGGAGACAAATATGTTTATTATGATTAACGAATTAAAACAGAGAAATAATATCATGTGTATAAGATGCTTGTTAAAAATCAATCGATATAGTGACATCTAAACTATATTTTTATTGTAGTTTTCATGTCTATATATATATATATATATATATATATTGCAATGTGTTAAAAATAAAATAAAACGGCCATTTATGACAATGCAATTTCTACAATTATGTAGCATAGATTATTATTACATTTATAAGTTTAGCAATTTTAGTTTAAACGAACAATAATTTTCATAAAATTAAGCAAAAGCCAACGTCTTGTCAGTCGGCGGTCATAAATATACTGGATTTCATACGTTGATTCCGTAGACCTATAAATCATAAACATAATATATAACCATAGCGTAGACCATTCGGCTTTCTTTATAGATATAGTAATAAAAAGAAATACAGAGAAATAACGGTAAGTGCAATTCGAAGTAATAATTAAAAATGGAACTTCGATGTGACTGTATAGGTATTGTAGTAAAAAAAATATAGCTACATTGAACATAAATTCGCAGTAAATGTATTCGTGTCAATTGTCGTCGAAGTAATTGACATTCGTAGTACGCAACATTTGTGGTAACTATGGTATCCCCCCAATATAACAGCTGTGGTATATCATGGGCCGGGTTGGCTATCCAGTTATCAGCTTGATTCGTGTTGTGTATGTAATATTTTAGTCAATACTTGTTTTTGGGCTTGAAATAAGTGGTCGTATCGGCTAATTTTTATTTTTTAGTATGTCTTAAAAGTTTTTTGAGTTACATTTAACCGCCAATAGTTATTAATATTACTTTCTGATGAACTTATCGGACGCGTTTCTATAATAATATAATAAATCCAATTTTGCAATCATGTTTAAAGTATTCACTTGTATTTTGTATCTATTAGTTACCAAAACGGTTGGCATTTCAGTAAGTTGTATTTTTTTGTTATTCAGAAGTTTGATAATATTATGCAATTTATTTAATTTCTTTACTGTCATAGGATTCTACCTCTTATGACTCCATAAGCGATATATACTTGGAACACGAATTGATTCCCGGTTCTGGATTTACCAAGCGCGGTTCCATACCGTTAAATTTAGAAACTAGAAATGACGTAGTTTCTGATTCTGTAATTAGCGACTCAGATTTAAAACTGTTAAATGTGAGTAATACCTAGGTGTATTGTGTTATTAAGATTTTATTTACAAACATATTATCTTATTTACAGAAATTGGCGAGTAACAATGAAATTTATAGGCTTAAAGTGACGGTAAAATTATTATCTGGGAAAGAGACGACCTTCTTAACGTTTACCAGAGCGTGCCTTATAGTTGGATCAAAATTGAACCACTTTCTCACTGTGCACTTGGACCATTTTGATATGCCATTTGCGGTAAACTTGGCTACAAATACAGGCAACTGTAATCGATTCGATGAGGCAAATACAAATAAGTTCACGGCTACGATATTCTTTAGAAGACCAGAGACGAGTCCTACGTAAGTTTATTTATTTAGATTATAAACCGATAATGTTCATATAAAAACATATTGGGTTTTTTTTATAGTCCCGACACTGCAACCTATATTCAAAAGATAGAACGCGAACGAGAAGCAAGAGAGAAAGGAAAATCAAATAACAACAAATCCATGCTTGCAAAATATGTAAGTGATTTAAAGCTGTTATCTCCAGTTTGACTTAACATCTAAGAAGGGTTGATCCTTTAATTTAAAGGGATTCAATTAATAATACATTAATTATTGGTATTATACTATAGTTCAAGCCGATTTCAATAATGAGTAAAATTCACAAACAACGTTTATCTGAATTTATTCCGAAAAGATTTTTTTAAAACATGAAATGTTATTTATAAAAGATAAATAATGAAAATACTCTTTGAGTACGGTTATATACCGAGAATGGCAACCGGCCATAAGTGTTTTAAATTGTTTGTTATTTAACTAGAAAATTTGATATAAAACAAGTTATCGCCAACTCTGACTTATATGCTATTATAAATTGTTAGTAAAGTAAAACTTATGTGCAACAATGACTTCTCAATTGCATCGTGCTCTACTATCTTGTACTAATTAAATTGTTGTTTGTTGAACTTAATTTAAACCTTTTTATTGCAGTGGATGTACATTGTGCCGTTGGTAATTTTCATGATGATTGCTGGAGCAACAAATCCCGAGGCAGCAAGATAGTGCCTAGATAAGCCCAAAAAATAACATCTGTAAATTAAAAAAGATCACTAAGTTTAATGGTAAAATAAGATATGTATTACATTTTGTATATATATATATATTTCGGGTAATATAAGTCATTATAAATAAATAAATACAAATTATTTAATTAGTCAGTACGGCACATGAAGAATAATAAATGTTATAAAACAAGTGTAGTAACTCTAAGACGATTAGTTTTTCTTGACTACGAAACCAGATCCTTTCTTATTCTTGTAAACACATTGTCCGCCTATCCACGTCGACAGAACGTTCAAGTTGTTTCCTAATAGAACAAAATCTGCATCAGCTCCGAAATTGAGCGTTCCTTTTACGTTTTCGATTCCCAGCACTTGGGCCGGGTGTAAGGTCACTGCTTCAATTGCTTCGGGCACACTACAATCTTAACGAAAAATAACGGTTAATGTCATCTAGTATACAGTTTAAGACTTAAGTAAGTAAAATTTCTTTCAAAGCATTTACCTGTTGCGTTTATAAAACATCGTAGACATTCGTCGAGCGAAGTCGTGCTTCCGCACAACGTGTTTGTATCGGCTATGTATGCTTTTGAATTTTTCAATTCTATTTGTTTGTCGGCCAGATGGTGAATTCCGTCTGACAAACCCGCTACTGAAATTGCATCCGTTACCAACACGAGACCTTTAGGATTGATCTTGTGGGCAATCTTCAATGCGGCGGGGTGTGTGTGGATGCCGTCGGCAATGAGACCAAAATACATTTGTCTGTTGTCGCTTGGCGAAGATGCGATTAATCCAACTATTCCTGGATCTCGATGATGAAACTAAAAAAAAAAAAACAATATTTTAAACCACTGGACCGATTTTTTTTTAGCATGTCTTCAACCGAAATCGTACCTAAAATGTAATTTTATAAGGCAAACAAATTTTACTTAACCCGCAAAAACACCTTAAAAATGTACACATCAGTCAACTTAAAGTTATGTCATGAAAAATAGTGAAACCACTTCTAAACTTGTAGTTAAATTTTTAGCTTCGATGCGATAGCTAGAAACTTGGTTTTATAATGATAAACCCCAAAAATCTTAATCGGTTTTTCAACCGTGAACTTTGATTTGCTATGGCATCGTGAACAACGGTCGTATCAGTTCTAAATTTTATAGGACATTTATTAGGCATGCCCTCAAACCCAAATTTCAACAACCCCATGGGAGGTTTGAAGAGGAGAAAATTATAATATGTGCAAGAAAAAAAAAATCTGGATTTTGAAGACTATTATGAGATCAACAACTCGAAATTCAGTAAATAACCTCTTAAATAATCACAAAAAATATATACTTAATAAAATTAAAAAATTGGAAATTTCCTAAAGACTATTTTTGTTTTGTTCACTGAACGTGATAATAACGGTGGCTATGAATTTTTTTAATTAACAAATTTTTTTTTGTCAAATTATACAAGGTGATCAATTAAACGTGACCTCCGTTTAGTTTTAGGAAATAACATAATACCTAAAGAAGTAAGTTTACTAAGGTTCATTACTTCCATTTAAAAATAAATAAAAAACAATATTTTTCCAACTTGAAAATACAGCACCTTATAACTTTTTTTCAATAATTCCAACGACTTACAAATCCAAATCAGTATATTTCTTCGATCAACCTTTTCTCTGTACTCCTTTTTTTTATGTAGTTTTAGTTGGATTTGGCACACTTTTTTTATTGAAGAAAAATCGACAAAAACAAAATGACACATTATTCACTGCCTATAAAATGATGTATATTTAATACCATCTACTATAAGTATTTTTTTTTGTGGTCTTACCGCCATTAGGTTATAATAATTGCATAAGACTTCTGCGACCTCCCCTACCCATGCTACCCTACCTATGCTGGCTTTTTATTATCGTTTTACTACTTATACTTACCGGAAGCATTGCGTTAAACAAATGAGTGATGAATTTAGCTCCATTTTCTACGGCTTTTAAGCCCGTGTACATGTCCGCAGAAGTGTGTCCTACCGATACGACAATCCCCTTTTCGGCGAGCATCTTGATTGCGGCCATTGACCCTTCTAGTTCAGGAGCCATCGTAACAATACTTATGTTTTCCAAACTACCATAAGTGTCTGTCATACTGGTTTGTTCCAAAGTTTTTGTATTGGTTATGTTGTGTGCGCCGAGTTTGTGCTCGCTGATAAATGGACCTTCGACGTGGGCGCCCAGAATTGCTGCCCCTAGCTCGTCTCCTGCACATCTTTTTAATTTCGGCAACACCTAACCGAATAGAAAAGAAATGTTTAACAGTCACACTTGTATTTAAACAACACTTGTCAATACTTTATGGTAACTCGATTCGCTGGTCGTGACTATAGTGGGACAAAATCCGGTCACGCCATACTGTAACAACCCTTTCCGGACTATATCTAGGCCTTCTCCGCAACTGTGTGTAAAATCAACGCCAAAAGCTCCTGAAAAAATCGCAAACATTTATTTGATTTGACTTATATTTTAATATAAATTGTTAATGTTATAACTTTATAATTTAGATACACTTCAGAAGCAGCAATTTATGTTGTGCTTAGCCGCAGCATCCGAACAACGCTGTAGCTTTACCCCTTAAAATAAAAAAATAAGGAGGTCAAAATGTTCGTTTCATTATGGGCTAATTATTCGTTTATATTTCAAATGTAATAATGTAATTTATGTATTTTTACCTAAGACTTAATAGACTGGTATAATCATGGCCAATAGATTTGATTTAAGACTTTTTTCTTGTAACATAATTTTAATTTTTTTTCTTAATATATTTTTTAAGCGTCGTAAACGCCTTTGAATAACTTTACAGAAACTACGATGGCAAATGTATATCGCTTTTAACATTTGATCGATTTCATTCATTTTAAAATGTCTTTAGTAGCAACAATTTATGTCTTGTGTTTCCAACATATTTCTAGCCACTTTCTTTCCAACATATTTCTATCCGTATCTCAATTTATCAAAAACATTAATATATTATAGTATAAACATATAAATCAGCTTATCAGCTTTACATCAAAGCTTAAAACTAATACTATCAGTATTTATTCTCTATTTTAATTCGTTAAAACAATTCATACAGTAAAATATATTTTCATAATATGGATGTTTATTTTACATTAATAGTATAAATGACGAAAAAAAAGATGTTGTAATCGCTTTGAGGTGAATATTGACGAATAACAGTAGGAAGGAAAATAATAGATTTTATGAATAAAAAATAAAAACAATTAAATTATTTGCAAGACTATTGGAATTGCTTTAGACATAAAATAAGTTAATTACAATTTATAATTTGAACATTTTCTAAATAAACATTTATTTTTTAACATATTTATTAAATATTTTAATAATTATTATTTAGAAGAAATAACATTTTTTTAAATGTGGTTATAATATAGGTAATGTGACACGATGTAATTTTTTTATTTAGAATTTTAACATACAATTTTTTTGATTTTAAAACAATTTTCATGATGTACCTACACCAATTTACGAGATTTGAGGCCACTGCATTCAAGTTTGATATTATTTGTAAAGTCAGTCCCATAGTTTTGGAGTTACATGGGACTTAGGGGGGTAGTATTTAGATTTAAAAAAAAATTAAAAATAGATAATTTATTAATGTTTGTTTTGGTTTATTGAAATCAAATAATGTATAAATGGACCACTTTGTAAGTGCATTTGTGTTACATGTGTATTCCATATTTTATTTTATTTTCAATAACTGGACAGCTATTTTTTTGTAATTTAACTAAATCCGAAATTATTCAACTGAACAAATATGTAAATAATTGCATAAACGTTCGTCGAATGATGTTTAACAAATCATTAAATATATTTTACGATTTCGTGGACACCATTTCGTAACCCGCCTATTAAAAAGAAAAATTAGTAAAAGCTTTATTTACAGTTTACATATAGGTATATTTTTAATTGTAACCTATTTTAACTGTTGACGTTTAAATTTATATTTTAAACATTATTTTTGTATGTGTGGGCACGCATGCACAAACACAGTGTTTAACAACAATTGAACTACTATAAAAATCAATGCCAATTATTAATATTATCTGGTTCTGGTGTCGGTCATTTATACACATACTTCATATAGAAAAAGAATAGTAGGTCATATATTGTATAACGATTAACGTGTGCATCTTCTGTCTGCAAAAGGTAGTTAATTTTAACTAATTTTAGTAGGCAGCTGTGAAAACCTCATTTACTCATTACTTAACAGAACATTTTTTTTTCTGTATAAATTATTTACTTAAATTATTTAAGGCCGTTGGGTGTAATTTAAAGCAAGTGAGGCAGGCCAATGTACTTGCACTTTTTTCCATTAAAAAACTAGTCATTTTTTTTTTTTGTTTATTAATACCTTATTTTTAAAAGTTCAACTAAAATGTAGATTATATTATTAGTTTAGTAATAAATTATATTTACATGTACCCCGTTTCCTTACAATAATCCCGTATGACTATAATAATATAATAGGAGTATAGCATTTATGTAAGAACAATTTTTTGCAAAAATAGTCAATAAAATGATTATTATTGGGTAGGTTAACCGTTTAGGGTTTAAACTTTTATTGAAATATATTTGAGTAAAATTTAGTGTTAAATTTATATTTCATAGTAATAATTACTTTGTCCATCTAATTGCAATAACCAATATAGATTATTGTTTGTATTCTCGATTTGAGTAACCTTTTACCCCTTTCTTTCACTAATTTTCACAGTACACAATTGGCTAAAGTACTAATGTACCATTGCTGAAATGTATCAAATTCCAAATATTTCTTCTAATTTTTATTTATTATTAAATTATTAAGTCCACTTATATCTCAGTTGGCTAAACAATTTTAATGTTTCATAATCATTTTTCAGTTGTAAATATTTTATCTTTCAAAGGCACTCCACTTAGGTTACACTTGTATGCCATTCAAACTTAACAATTCAAATGGCCTACATTTATTGATGTACTTGTGCTAGGAGATAAGACATGTACATGGAAATATTTCCTAACACACATATTTTGATTTATTACTACGACGTACAACTATTGTATTTTGTAGGTACTTAAAATTGTATTGATAAGGTAATTTATATTAATTTATCTCTCACGTCCCGCATAGTTCCATTAACCTAAATATTTGTAAAAAAAAAAAACATTTTTTAACTTTCAGAATAATGAAGCCAGGTAAACCTGTGCCACGCCCTCTAATTGAGATTTTTTAACGCCTATTATTATTGTAGCTTATAAGTTAGGTATAAGATAAATATTGTGACTACTACAACTTACAAGTAAAAATAAGTTAAAATTATAAGTTTAGGTAAGTGTTTCTTATTTTGTTGTTAACATCTGAAATAATAATATTATTAGAATAATAAATGTACCAACATGGCAGCCGTACAGTTATTATTTCATTGTTTAATCTTTGAATATCAGTTTTATTGATATTATAATTATTGTCCACCTGCTAATAAAAAAAAATAGTTAAATCTGAATACATATTAAACTAAACAAAAAAATAAATTCTCGGATCAATTTTATGAATAATTTTTCAAACCTGAAATGAACAGTAGATGCAGTTAAATATTATGTTTTGGGTGTCTAAAATTTTAAATTATTCAAACGTCTATTTATAGTCAAAACATTTTTATCAAAGAACGCCATAAAAAAGGTCAATGTTATTTTATGTTGTACTTATTTGTATTAATTATTATCAATATTTTATTAATAAAAAAACGTTGTACGCGTTAATATTTTTTAACGTAAATAACCCTGACCTAACCTGGAATCTTTTACAATGAAAATAATATTTTGTACTTCGAGGAGTAAAGATATTCATGGCAAAACGCAAAAGATTGTACTACATAAGTAGGGTCTAATACGCACTAACAGGCATTTTTCTTTTTCTTTTTTATTATTATTAAATAGTATTGTAAGATAATACACAATCTGTGTAGGAATGTCAAGGAATATTTGACACAATTGTCAACAAAAAATAGCGTCAAAAAGTTTTGCAGTTAAAATAATATTGCAAATAACACAATAATCAATTATCTCTTGTTATATATTATAATATTATGAAATATAATATTATTTTAATTATCATTAGAATAGTAGGTATAATTTATTTAGAATAATATATATATATATATATATATATATATATATATATATAATAAAAAACGTAAATAATTTCGTTTGTAATTAAATTTGTTTGCAATCGCCTAAGTACAAGATAAAATATAAATAGTTTAAGATATATATTAAATATTGAAAAAAAAGTGCAAAATAAAAACTTACATAATATCGAGTTACGAATTTTTGGGTTATTTTATGGATTAAATATATATATATATATCATAAAAAAGTAAATATTATTTGACTAGCCTTTTAAATATGTATGTATACTGACCGTTTATTTGCAAGTCAATGAATCCGGGCGCCACAAGAGAACCTAGGCAATCGATTTCGACATCTGGCGATTTTCTTAGATCATAAAATATTATGTCCGGATCCACAATTCTTCCGTCTTCGACCCACAGGTCTTTGGGTAGAATTTGTCCGTCCGTCAGTACGTTACAATTGAAATACTTTGTGACAACAGTCATAGTTTTTTTTTTCTTTTGCCTTTTTTACCACACACACAAACGGCAACTGTACTCGCTATAAGCAAAACGATAACTGAAGTCTATTACGGCATTTTTCAAACAATTATCAACACATGTTTTGTTTCATGCCTCAATTAAAGAGTTCACAAGGTCGTCGTTCGCTAGACATTGATTGTTTTGTTCGTTGTTTGTTTTTTATCTACGTGTACCTAGAGTAAATACGATCAGATTGTGTATTGCATCTCAAGAGACAATAATATAATAACATAACAATGACTTTTTTTATTGATTTATAAACATAATTCGGAATATAAAACTATTTCCTGTTTTTTTTAAAAAAAAAAATTTAAGAAAGTAACAAAAGTATTAATATTTCATTTTAACGCTTAATGCTTAGGTCTTCATAAATATTTACAATAAAATTAAATAAATTCACAAAGATAAAATGTTTACATCTCTAACACAAAGTTAATTTAACAAAAATGTTAATAATAATAAAAAAAATAAATGAGGTAATTAGAAATGTTTAACAAAGCTATTTTTGTTCTATTGTAAATGTATAATCACCACTATATAATTATTATTACTAAGATTTTGTTTTGATTCACAATGTTTTTTTGTTTAAAAATCTGTCCGGTGGCGTTAATTATTAATTATTATTATACATAATTCATAAAATATAAATGATGAAGGAAAAATTATTTTGAAAAACGCTTTCCAATGAATATTCCACAGATAACAGTAGGCAGAGAAAGGTAGAGATTTTAGTCATTTTTTACATCAATCACAAATTGTAACAATATTATTATTACACAAAATGCGTGTCTAGTGTAAAATTTCAATTATGTCATCGAGAGATATTCCTAATTTTTTTTACTTCAAAATAACAACTTATAATATGGATTTTAAACGTTATAAGTATAAACACATAATAGATATAGTAAAAAAAAATCTTGACAAGCGATTTTGTTTTATGTTTTAATATTAAGAGTCCACAAGGATGTTTGTTTAGACACTGATTTTGTTTGTTGCTTTTTATCTATAGATTTTAAATAAATAAACAATTTTTATCTAGAGTAAACAATCAAATTTTATTGCATCTTAAGAATATAATAAAATAATAACTTTATACAGATATAAATAATTCGGTAAATAAAACTATTCCCTTAAGTTTTTTTTTTAAATAAAAGAAAAAGTAACAAAAATATCACTATTTTTTTTTTTAACGCTTCAGTCTTCTTAAATATTTACAATAAAATGAAAAATACAAAAAGATAACATTATTACATCTTTTACATAAAAGGTAATTTAGTAAACGCTTTAACAACAAAATGATAAAATTAATAAATGAGGCAATTAGAAATATTTAACAACGTTTTTTGATTTGTTTTATAAACAATATTTTATGGTTCTTGGACCCAATTTTGATAAAAAACTATTAACATTTGTTTAAGTCATGACATGAAAATTTATTTAAATTAGCTAGTTTTGCAATTGAATAATTATAGCGTAATACAAGTATGTTAAAACTAATTTTTTTTTTTTACTATTGAACTAAGTCTTAAGAAAAAATCATAAGATTTAAATACATATTGAATTTTTTTTAAACAAATCAAAAAACAATAAAATAATATGTTTGTTTGACAGCCGTGGAACGTTTAAGTTTGAGCGTTTAAAAATACTGAAAATGTATAATAATAATAACTAAAAAAAAAAAAATGTATATAAAATTAAATACATAACAATATTTTAGAACTGAATAATAATCAATATAACGAAATAATATCTAATATTGCAATTGCGTATGTGAACACCATTGATATATATATATATATATATATATATATACCCATAAAACAAAATGTGCACTGATTATATAATATATATATATATATTCCCTGTAGCAGTACATTATGACTTATGCATATATAAATATAATTTATATGTATATTATACACATAGCATTTTCTCGACCTAGACTAATTTGACTAAAATGTTCACTAGATTGTTTAAAACGAGGTAAACGTCCAATATAACATAAACAAAAATTGGTTTATGAAAAGACAAAAAAAAAAAGATTACAAGACATTTTTAATTAATAAATACGAGACTTTTAAATTAAATGAAAACAACTCGTAAATTAATATATTATTATACTTTTTTTTTTAATAAATAGGAACTAAAATTACTCTTTTTCTTATTGAGGAAATAAATTAATATTATAATTATGATAATAATAATTAATAATAGTAATATAATAATAAAAAAAAAGGAAAATAAAAAAAAGTCAGTAAAATGTCAGTATACTTAAAAAATAAAATAAATTTGTTAAATCTAGAAAAACAAAAAAAAAATGCACTTCGAGCAGTCTCAAAAATTAATTAACTATAAAATAAAATTGAAGAAAAAATTAAGTTAACAAAATACGTTTTTGGGGAAAAAAGATAATATAGATTAGCTTTGTATTCGAATCAGACAGTAGCATTCAATACGAGAACATGATGATTGTTTTTAGCCAACGTAACAATATGGCCTCCGGTTGTAATTTTTAAACCGCAACAACGGGATACCTAAAACAGAACAGAATTATTTGTTAGTAATTATTGATTAACAATTTGTTTTTTTTTTTTAAACAAACACAACAATTGTCACTATAACAATAAATATTACACAGTTTGTGTAAATATAAAGTTGGGTTGAAATCTTGATAAAACATTTTTAATTAAACAAGTTATTTTAAATACAATTTTCAATTATACATAAACTTTAAAATTATTCGAGATAAAGGTCAGCTCTCATATGATAAAATGTTTTACATTTTAATTTAAAAAAAAAAATTACTATTCTGCTATTATTTACTAGAATATAGCTTTTATATTAAAAGTTAGAATTTATAATTATACAAGCTGTCTCGACCCGGCGTTGCCCGTGTATTAGAATAGACACACAATCAGCTGATCGGATCACTGTATCCTTGTGGTATGAAAAACCATAGAGATGTGTTGATAACTATTGATAATCATAATTAATCATTCTAATGTTCTATCGGATCAAATTCTGAATCTAAACCTTTCTCGAATCAACTTAATCGCGCACACAAAATTTCATAAATATCTGTCCAGCCGTTTAGGAGTTAGCATATTTACACACAGACAGAAGAAATTTATACATAAAGATTTAAATAAAAATGTTTTAAACCTTATATTTTTTTCAAATACTATACATGATGACATACCTTTATGTAGGGACATTCCAAGTCCGTTATATGAGTTCCGTCATGAGCAAAGACGGCCACGTGGAAACGATTTCCATGAGAATCACCAACTAATATTTCTCCATTCTCGGATATATCTATACCATTTGGAAAACTAGTGATATATTCACCGCCAATTCGACGCAAGCATACACCCTCGTCGTTAAACACGACAATAGAGTGACCTTTAAAATCGCAGACGTAATAATCTTCATCTAAATAAAAAAAAATGTATCAATCATACAGCATTTTATATCAAATAAAACTTTTCTAAAAATTATTATTTTTATTTTTTACCTCTAACAATTATGTCCGAAGGTTCTTCCATATAAGAAGCACAATCAAACCACTTCATTATGCCGTTGTCTTCATTTACGTTCAAGACAAACACCGTGGGGTGTACACTATCGACTAAAGCAAGATGGCCGGTAGCAGTCACGGCGACTCCAGCGACAATCTCTATGAATTGGACTTGAATTTTTTTTATAAACTTGCCAGTCGGGTATTCAAATATCTGTACTCTAGATCTGTCTGAACCGCGATCGCATACGACTATTTGATTGTGATTTAAAAACACCACTTTTCTCGGATAAAACAAGTATCCGTCTTCTTTACCCTCCCTACCGAATTCAGTCTTGTATGTACCATCTTTTTCAAATACCTACACACACAAATTAATTAGATAACTTTATGTTTAATAGTTATTCATGCACGTTTAATATCTCACTTGAATACGATGGTTGTGAGTGTCGGCCACAACAATGTCTTCTGTAGGACTCAGACAGAAACCGTGAGGCGAATGAAACTGACCTAATCCGCTACCCATTTGACCAAATTTCGCTACAATATCCATGCTGGGTCTACTGGAATGGCGCTTTGGTCTAGAGGGTGGTGCCTTTTTTTCTTTACTGTACCAACTAGAATTTGTAGCCACTCCGTAAATATCTGGACAAAAACAAAATACCAATAAAATATTATAAAACGTCGATTGCGACATAGACTTAAATGATATTATCATTATTTAACTCTAGACAAGCCTTAGCAAGGTTGCTATAGTCAATATATTACCAGGAGACAAAGTAGTAGTGGGAGAACTCATGGAAGATGTACTGCCCATGGAAAACGGATCGAGACCAGGTTGATTCAACGCCAACGGACTCATCAAACTTTGAAGCATGTCTGGAACATCATTTTAAACGAAGTTAATTATTTCAAGTTCTTAGGACTACACAAAATGATAGAATAAATCCATACTATTGTTGTTGTTGATGCTCATATTATCGAGTTTAGCGAGAGCTTGTAGATTATTGAGAGCGAAATTATTATCAAAATTATTTTGAGTGTTCAACAAATCGCCCAGCGAATCTGGTGATGGCAGTGCCGGTAATATAGAATTGTCTTCAGAATTGAGGGAGCATAATCGAGCTAAATTTAAATCAAATATCTGCGATTCCGCCATAGGTGCCAACACTGGTGGCGGAAATGTACGGTCTGTTAAAAAATTAGTTCTAGGAGTCGGTGGAGAAATAGGTCCGACAGCGGCATTGATGTTTTGTTCGGTTTCGATCTGTCCAAAAAATGTCTAAAAAATAATAATAATAATAATACTTTGTTAGTATATATGTTCTTAATAATTTGATGGAAATTTTTGTATTTTATAACAGCTATAATTATACTTACCCGGCATTTATTTTCAAAACCGCCGACATCTGGCGAGAACAAAATTTTAGCATCAATATCTACATCAGGTATTTGGCTAAATAGCTGAAGCATTTGAGTAAATATCAATTTCTTCAGAGCCATGATTTCAGATTCACTTCCATTTTCCAATAGACGAGTAGCAAATTGTTGCACTCCACTGATATTATCAGTAATTTTTTTCACTCTAAATAACAAACAATAAATAAATAACATTATTAAAATAGATACTGAAAATAATATAATTTGTTTACTCTTCAAATTTATCCATTATCTTTAACTCTTGTTGTTTTTGAGCAGATTTAAGTTGTGCTAGGACATCATTTTTACACGTTTCCAGTATAGCTTTGAAACTCTGAAATAATATTTCAAAAATATATATTTAAATATTTTTATTATATCATGTAGCTGCTTAAAGAGACCTCGAAGGGCCACCATGAGATGGTTTCTTGATGAATAATAAGTATGGATAGCAAGTCCGTCGTCAGAGAGAGAGATGACAGGTTTTATACTAAATGACTTCTCGTCCAACAAACAGAGCTCATGACCGAGTGTCAAACTAGTGCCACACACTCGGCCACTCATTCTTCTCCTTGTTCATATTATATATAAATTAATAATTAGATTCACCTGAAAAGTTTCCTCAACGTTAGATTTTACGTGATCATGAGACGTTTGTAAGTTATCCAGTGCCTTTTCTAACGTAGCTGGTAATGTAGACACATTTTTCATTACGTTTTTGCTTTCGCGCACTAAATACTCCAGTTCAGTTCCATACTTTTTGTAAGCGTTCGAAAGACTGTCATAACTATGCTGGCATGTTCTGGGTGTGGGTATGTTAAGGCATTTGGTACATGCTAATTCCTGTATGTATATAACATAACAAATTACAATGAAAATCGTAAAACTAAATATTATAACATGATTTTGGAACCAGAACCAAAATACATCTATTTTTTTGGATTTGTAAACCATATTTCGGATTTACAAATAAACATAATTGCGGAATTTGTAACTTAAAAAAAAAAAAAAAAACAACCCAAAAATATTTTCCTTGCGCAGCCTTCAACAATAAGTTAACATAAGTAGGAAATTACACACACAATTAAGGCACAGCAAGAGGATTTTAAGGATAAATTTTATCGGTGAACATACTTACATTACATATGTTGCAATAATAAAGCATTTGTTCATTGTTATGTTTTTCACACAACACCATTTTATGAATAGCTGTTTTATCTTGTGCACTTTGGATCATATCTTCAATGGATACCATGTAATGATATTGGCCCGGAGTGACAAGCATCTGTTAACATTTTTTTGGTTGATTTAAAAAAATTAAATAATAATAATTATATTAGACGGAAAACAAATTTACCTTATGCATACTTTCACAGCTAGAACACAAAAAGTTGCAGCAGGTAATGCATTTATGTGTTGCTTCTTTGTTGTCTCTACATGATTTGCAAATGAGTTTATGATTTTTCAGCATTTCTATTTCCAGTATATCTCTTGTTACATAATCTTGTGGCAATGTCAGAGTACCTCTATTTAACTGAGTCTAAATATGAGAAGATAAAAACAAAGTAACTTTCGGGAATAAAAAAATGTAATTTTACAACTACTTACAGTAGTAGGTTGACTGCATACAGGACAAATAATATTGAGAACACTAAACATAGAATTGACATTTACAAGCTGCAATATACATTTCTCGCAAAATACATGTAAACAATTCAGAATTCTTGGACACATCAACTGGTTTCTGTAAATTAACAATAAAAAGCAAATTGTTAAATGCTTTACTCTACACAAATTATATTCTATAATATTCTTTCAACATAGAAAAACCAAAAAAAAAATATCATAAACCCTTTCCCCTAGAAGGGATAAAATTTTTCTCATTTATTTTATAATTCCAAGCAAATTTTTAGGGATTTAGTTCTGAAAGTTAGACCGAAGGTTAATCTAGAATAAAACTATAAAATACATAAAACATTTTAAAAATCTAATTAGATCTTTTTTTTTATTAAGGGAAAACCTAAAACAAGGGGTCAATTACACTTTGATCGTAGTCAATTTCCAGGCTGCTATGTGTGAGTGAATCAACAGTCAACAGGCGATGAAAATATTTTCATTATATTGTTTATTACAATATAAGGGTAACTATCGCAATACATTTTTATAGACAGACAATGAACCCTACCTAAGGTTAGGTTTAAATCACAAATGTGATTTAAAAATGGAAATGGGTTGCCCTGAATTCGGCCTGGTACAGCTCAACACAATTATAGTCTCCAATGTTCAAGGTCAAGCTCGGCCTGTACCAGATCCTAACCAATAAATAAGTAAACCTAAATTAATTTAAAGTCTAATCTATAATGTGTGTCTCAGTTAACAAGTCCAGATTGAGCTAATGGCTTTAAATTGGTAGGCTTCCCTTAGTTGTTATTCCTGGTCACCGCGCTATGGCAAATTGCATTGGTACCCAAACCGTTATATTAAGATTTTAAGTCTACCTCCGCATGTGATAACAGTTATAGAAATGACCAAAACTTTTAAATTTCAAATACAAAAACTTTTTTTCAAAATTTATTATAAAATTGACTTTTGGCTCACAAAAATAATGTTACCAAATTATTTGTGGTAAGAAGAAACAAAATTTACTATGGAGTTGTCGTTTACCTAATTTTTCTTTTTTTTACTTAGTGTTAAATTTTACTGTTAAATAAATGTTGTTTATTAATATACAATATGATTTGTTTTTATTTTACGTAATTTTCTTCCTAAATTTCCTAGCAATAAAAAATATTAAATTACCGTAAATAAAGAAATGAACTTACTTGCAAATTCCGCAAGTGTTAATTTCCAAGCCAAATTCTTCTTCAATCAAAAAATCATTACTCGAGTCCAACGATAAACTGTCCATGATGAATTCTGGTTCCTAAGATCAATTAATATTCATGTTGTATGACTTTTTATCATAATTAAAAATACATTGAATGAAACCTTTTTATTAAAATATATTTTTTTACTTATTAGCCTTTATTAGATATTATTAATGCACAACAATTATATAAATTAAAAAAAAATACAGAATAAATATGCCATTCAATAGTATTAAATTTAATGATTTAATACTTATGTTGTTTTAAATGGTTATTACCTCCAAGTTAAAATTTAAAAAAACGTTTTATAATTGTTGTACTACCATTGATTATAAATTATTATAGATTGCTCAATGTGATAAATGTAAGTTCTGGTTGCCAAGACGGGACAGGCGCTAGATCATTTTCACTGTAAGCGATATTACTGTCACTTGTCCAGTGTTGGCAACCAGAACTAAAAAGTCTCAGTCAGCAAACTATAGTAATTTATAATCGATTGTACTATATAATATAACATTGAACAACAACAAAATTATAAGTTTAGAATTGATGAAATAAGTTTTTTAATTCAGATAAAGGTATTGTATTATTATTCAATCACTATGCTAACTTCTTCCTATGTTGGTTTTGTAAGTTTTTCATTGAAAGCTATTTTACCATTTTTAAATATAATAATTCCAAAAAACGACCAATGTAACTGCACTACACTCCTTAATTCTCTTTTTCTTTTTTTTTTTATCATATATATTTATAAATTGAGTTTCGAGATTTAAATATTATTTACAATATCTATTTGTGCTGCAGATAATTTTCTTTAGTTATAAGAGATATAATGTACTTGCAATATAAAAACAGTACCTGAGTATAAATGTTAAAAATAATAAAACCATTACATTTTTAAATTGAATTATTAAAAAAAAAATTATAAATGAACTTTTAAATTTTTAACTATTGAACATATTGTCACATAACCTAACCTATCAGTTACTCATCAGTAACAGTTACAGGTCGAAAATGAAAAAACAATTAGTGCATTACAGAAATAATACCATTTAAAAAACATCTCTATCGAATTTAAACATACAATTTGTTCAATAATTATTTGATAGTTAGTATTTCACGGTAATATCATTGAGTACCTATAAATTGTACAATTTATACTCAATGGTAATATCCATAAAATAGTATATTTCAAGTTATCATGAAGATTTATTGGTAAAAGGAAATAAGAGTAATTCGCCTTTAAAAACCCAAAAACTAATTAGTAACTCTTAATACATATATACATATATTATTAGAAATAATATTGTTATTTTACCAAATTTATAGTTTTTTAAAGACAGGTAAATTATAACCTGAGGAAGAGGTGCAGTAGACGTTCAATATTGTGGAGACTTTCACAAATTTAACCATAAGGCACGAAATATTAATATTAAAAAAACATCAAATGTTATAATGAATGACGATTATTTCACATATTTCTATTTAAATATTTAATAGCACAGTAGTGGAAATTGAGAAATGGATAAAATCTCTTATCACGAAGCCTACAATATTTTTGCCTACATACATTACGAGACTCCTCCCTCCATGGGCTTTAGTAAAATTATTACTATGAAGTGAAACTAAAAACGAAATACGTCGCGTTGTTTTGTAGTTATAATAATTATTTCCTAGACAAATATTATCTTACCAAAGTGTGTTGAGAATAATTTTTCGTGAGAATATGTCGAATTAAACACAACGCGATGGAAAAAATGACTAGACGAAAAACGAATTGCTACATGCAATTTGCAAATAACGGGTAGAAAAGAAAAGGGGTCGAGGTGAGTGGCGACTGACGACAGCCATTTACGGTACATGTATTAATTTATAATACACCATAACCGCGGTAACATATTTACAGGAATCGGCCAAGGTTGCGGTTGGAAAATATTGGTTAAATTCCCAAGTTGAATATTGAAAAAAAAACAATAAGCCTTCTTAAATAAATTTACAACGGATCGAAACCCCGGATATTAAAACATAATTTAATATTAGAAAAAAATGAACGGTTTTATAAATTATAAATCACTTTTTTTTTGGAGGGGTTCATAACGAGTTGATAACCTTACATCACATAACCAAGGTATCTGAAGCTAGCGATGCTAATGATCTTTCAAAAACTGATAAAACCGCGCCTGCGCATCATTGAGTTTGCAGCTCCTTCCACCGTTTACGGCGTTTAGGTTAAACCTGTCAACATTCAACAGTTAACATATTGTGTTGACGCTTGACGGGCAGCTTAATTTGTTTTCTAAAATTCGGTTATGCGTAGTAACTTGTATTTTGTGATCCAAGTGTACACAATCCAGATCCATTGATATTTGATCATTCAATAATCTGTTCAATGGTGTAATTATTATTGTAACAATAATACTACGACTTCGGACTCTAAACTTGGGTCCAACTCACGATTAAAGATTATTATTATCTTTAATCGTGATCCAACCATAAGCATCCAACCTGAATAAATACATATTCATTTATTTATTTATTAATTAACTAATAGCTCTATAAACAAATACAAATCCATGTGGAACTTTATTCGTATTACTAATTACTATAATTGGTTATCTATTTTTTTTTGTAGAAGTTACAACTCTAACCTAAAATACGTCTTAACTCTTAATGTCGACCTCCCGAGTTCCAAATATTTTGCACATAAACATAACTAAATAAAACATTAATAACTTTATTAATTAATAACCTTTTTTTAACTAAAAATAGGCGACATATAAAGCGATGTAAGAGATGTAAAGCATGAACATATATATTATAAATATATATGCCGTAAAGTATACAAGTTGTATAATATAATAATACTAATTATTGGGTACTCTCTGCTCTCAAGGTGTATGATTTGCGTCTCAAACTAATCAGCTGTTTCCTAATAAATTGCACTCCATGTGAAAGCTTGTGTCAATAATAAGGACCGTGATAACAGTTGCCGATATTTTGAAAATGCCCTGGTGACGTCCCTGATCTGCTTAAATTTTTAATTTATATTTTATAATAAATGATTAACATTGGACAATGATCGTGAAATAGTAGCTGCGATTTTTATATTTGCAGTGTTATATATTAAATAAATTGTTTTTATTGTAAAACAACAAACATTTTTTTTACCAAATTCATGAACATACACTTGCGAAATTTTTTAAGTATGAACAACTAATATTCTACACATCAACATGTTTGTTTCTCGGTAAATCTATACAATTTTAAACCTTACAGGACGACCCACGTATAGATATGTCTATAGTTCTGAAAGGGCCACACACTTTATAAACTTATAATATTAGCATTACCTACAGATGAACTTTGAACATGTAAATTTTAATTTTCATGTGCAGTGGGGAAATTTCAAAATTAGAAATACAATGGTCACCCATACATGAAAATAAGTTTATTACTTGGGGACCTGATGTACGTATGTATGAAGTAAGTTCAACTATTTCGGAAAGTCCCAAAAACAATGATGTTCCTAAAGGTAAATCCTAGTAGTTATATAACAAACAAAATATTTTAACCAAGTTGTCCTCGATGTTCTTTTAAAGGTATAACATTATCGTCAAGTACCGTAGCAAACTTATTAGCTACTAGTACAAATCACAGATATGTTAAATGTGTTGATATATATCCGAAACCTGATTCGGAAATTATGCTTGCGATTGGGCATGCAAATGGAAAAGTAACATTTTGTACATTTGGATTAGCTAATATTAATAACACACTAGCTGGGCTTGAATTAGGACCAAGTAAAATATATTTATATGTCCCTATTTATATTATAAACATATTTGTAATAACAAAATAAATCTTAATTATAGGTTCCCGTTTTGCTCGACAGTGTAACAGCATATCTTGGAATCCAGTAAATTATAATTTGCTGGCTTGCGGTTTGGATAAACATCGTTCTGATCAATGTGTTCAAATCTGGGACGTGGAAAAGAGTCCGTTGATTAACGCTGATCTGTCAGCAGCAAGACCATTCTTTGAGTATGGAATGGGAGAAACGGCTCATTCGTTAGCATGGTTCAATACTTCACCTCATGTATTAGCTGTTAGTTGTAATAACAAGCAAATTCGATGTGTAGACATAAGAGGTAATCAAAAAAGACTACTAAAATAAAATAAAAATAGATTTTAACCAAATTAACCTAATCTGATAATTGAATAAATTAATAAATTTATTCTTAGATGCATCTAGATCTACAAATACGGTACAAACGAGAGCAGTATACGGTATCGATATAGCAGTGTATAATAATAATCATATCGTTTCATACAATGACAACAGTATTGTTTTGTGGGATTCGAGGCATTTAGAAAAACCCGTTGTTACATTGACACAAAGCAAGAGTATCATTAAGGTACAGTGGTGCCCAACTAGGTAAATGACTTAGTATTGTTGAAAATATGCAAAATATTTTCTAAATTATGTTTAAAAAACATTGTGTAATCCAGGTTGAAAACCTATTGTATGTACGCAAGTATTAAAAATATTTATACTTTTTGTTTGTCTTTTTGTTAGGCATAATTTATTAGGGTCATTACAAAAAGATACTATGGCTATAAGTTTGCACGACATGCAGCAAAGTATGGAAGAAGCTGAACCTTCGGCTCTGGAGAGAACTGTACATCCTGGACAAGGCAATATACACTTAGCATCTTTTTCATGGCATCCCGTTCACGAAAACCGGCTGTTAGCTATTTCTCAAACAGGTGTTGTTCTATAAATTTGTCTTCGTAGGTAATTCATGTTATTATAATTTATTTTTGTATACATTTTTTAGGTATTTTAAATGATTACTGGGTATTTGAGAGGATGACATTGAATTGGTCTACTACGTCAAATATTGTATGGACTTACGGGCAAAATAATCTTAAATTTATAAGTGACAAAGATTTGGTTTACTCATCGTTTGAAGATGTTGCGATCGCAATTAAAATGCGTGCATTTTCTCAGTATGGAATCAAAGTAATGCCGTGTTATTTATTGAAACATTTATTTTCCTTAATGATATTCTAACGTAATTTAATATTAGATCTTTTTGTTATCAAACTATACAATCTTAACAATTGAAGTATATAAATCTGTTGTGAAATGTGACATTTAGAAATGTTTATTCTGTTTAGACCTCCCCACCCCCAAAAATGACCCCTCCAAGCCTCTACAAAAACTCAGCTACCAAGTTTAACATTGTTAAAACAATTTTCTTTGTTAATATAAAAAGGAGCTTCAGAGCCTAAGAAAATGTAAAAAAAAATTGCACATACTTAAATCCATCTTTAGTAATCCCACTGTTATAAACGTAAATTATTAATAAAAAATAACAATAATTAGTATTAAATTGTAATTGAAAAATAATAACCCTTGAAATTGTAGCAACTCTTGTTCATTGTTGAGCTATTAGTTAAAAATTTTAAAAAATGTATAGGATTTTGCTGAAAATGCTAAGCTTGTGGACGATCCTGTGATAAAAAATGTTTGGTCTTGGTTGGATTTAAATAGAAGAGTTACAAAAGCTGGCCTTGTGCCGACAACACCAGATGTACCATTTCCGGGTATAAAGTAGGTTTTTTTTATAAATAATACATAAAATAGTGATACATTGTTTAACATGATACATGCAAATAGAACTGTTTTAGGTGTAGATTCTACAGCAACAACACTCAAATCGGAACTTAAACATGTTCAGTGGGTCGACATACAAGGAACAGTGAAAACTTATAGGTAAATTTATCATAGTTTTAAAATCATATTTACGGTGAGATAAAATAAAATAATTAATATAGGGTGGTCTCAAAAAAATACAGGTAGGAAAACTTTGTGTAGGCTTGTTTTGAATGTATTGGCTTATTTACATTTAAATTATATTTATACCATATTATATATAAAAAAGATAGGTCTAATTCTTAGCTGTTTTTATTTTTACATTATCAATGCAATCAAAGTACGAATAGAAAGTTGTAATTCCTTGCAAGTCTTATTCTTGGTTTTTTAAAGACTTGCAAACAATTTCTGAATAAGATTTGCAAGGAATTACAACTTTCTGTTCATACTTTGATTGCATTAATAATAAATAAACAACTAAGAATTAAACCTATCTTTTTTATTTAATATTTATATATGTTTAACTTTTATTTCATCAAAATGAAATGCAATTTTCCAGGAGTTTAGCAAGAGATCATGCGCTGTATTTGTGTGATTGGGGTTTTGATCGTACTAATGGTTCACATATATCTGCTGTACTTAGGAAATTAGAAAACGAGAATTCGTATACGAGAGCTGCTTCAATAGCAATATTTAACTTAAGAATGCGTGACGCAATCGAAACATTAAATAAAGGTGCCAGTCAACAACCTCATCTGAGTATGATTGCAATGGCGTTATCAGGTATTTTTTAATGAGCTCTTATAGTATATTATAATAAAAGGACATGGGGCAATTTTTTGTAACAAATATAATATATATCTTCTTGAAAACTGTTACACTTATAGTTAAAGGAATGTAGGAATGTACAAGAATACACTTAATGGATTGTAAAAGATTGTATAAAATCTACACAATTCCCCTATTATTATTAGTTTCCCTTATAATGCCTACTCTTCTATTACGGTGTTTTCACTGCTTATCAAATTATGCATTTTTTTTTTCAAGTATGAATGATAATAGTTTGCTTAATAAGCCTTTTTGGTACCAGTCTGACTAGTCAAATGTATCAAATTATTCTTAATAGAAATATAGTATTGGAAAAGTTTTGTTACACAAATAGTTACAGTAAAAAATTTTGTTACAATGGTTATTATAGGCTATAGTCCGGATAAGTACAGTATGTGGCGAGAATTGTGCTCCAAAACCAGAGAAAAATTAACAGATCCTTATTTAAGAGCAGCTTTTGCATTTTTAACGTCTGATTCAGATTCACACGATACAGTTTTGGTAATAATTAGTAATAAAAATAAGGCTTATAACAAGAAAAATGACAACAATACTTAAATAAATAAATGTGTTTTTTTTTAGAACGAAGTCGGAATTCCATTAGAGGATAGAATTGCATTTGCTTGTATTTTTCTGTCAGATCAAAAATTAATAGAATACATAAACTTAATTACAGACAAACTCTTGGATCAAGGCAATTTGTCTGCTATATTTTTAATAGGTATGCATTAATTAATAAAATAAAAAAATTGTATTGATTTTTAACAAAATAAAAACTCATTAGGATCGTCTCCAGAACTAGTTCCTTTACTACAACGTTATTTGGATAATACCGGAGATATACAGACTGCAAGTATTTTAGTACTGAAAACGATTCCTAGCGAAATCGTACATGAACACCCAGCCATGATGAACTGGATAAACAGGTAAAGTTTTTCAACAATTTTTGGGTCATCAAATGGCTAAGACATACTCGTGTATTTAGTTATAGGGAAATATTGGATCAATGGCGTATGTGGCATATTCGAGCAAAGTTTGATATCGCTTTAAAAGCTGTAAAACCTCCTCCACAAAATGTGTTTTTATCATGTAATTACTGTGGTAAAAATATTTGTCCGACGGCTGAGGAGAGGGAGAAAGACTCAGAAAAAGAAATAAAAGTACAAAGAATGAAAGACCAAGGCATTGAAAATGGATCCAACAGCTTGAAAGTACTTTTATTTTATTTTTTTTACAGAACCAGCTCACAAAATTTAGTTTAGAAATAAAAAATGTTTCTGAAACTGCCCATTTCAAATTTTTAAATAAACTTTATATTAACTTATATGAACTCTCAGTTTACAGCTTGTCCCAATTGTCAAAGTCCTTTGCCACGATGTGCATTGTGTTTAGCACATTTAGGCACAGCCAGCGCCAAAATTCCAACCAGAAAAACCTCCAGCAAACAATTGCCAACAAATAGTGCGTACATGGTGAACGGACAAAGTGTTAATAATTTTTCATATTGGTTTTCATGGTGTCCCACGTGTAATCACGGTGGTCATTCAAATCACATAACCGACTGGTTCAGGTACTTGAATTTTGTTATTACAATGTATTTTTGACTTTACGTTAATGAGTAAGATTCTATAGACTATTTTTAATTTAACCCTGATGAAAAATAAACAAAAAAGTTTAACTAGGAAATCCAGATTTTAGTCCCAGCCTCGAATTATAATTTATTATAATGGGTCATTGCGCGTGAAATCACCTAATGCGTGTGCAACTATACTTAAAAATGTTTGAAATTTTTATCATACATTCTTTATAGTCTCCCTGCGGGTGGGGGTTAGAATACACCTGCGGTAGTCCATGCTAGTCGTAAAAGGCGACCAAACAATGGGCAGCAGCGTTGTTTGTATCAAGTATAGATTTATCTTTACGCTCTTCTAGTAATATAAAAAGTACTAATCATTAACCCAAAGAAACAAATCTGGGGAATATGAAGAAGCTATTAGCTCTAGCAAGTTATGAAGAAATGAAAAGACTAGCAGATAAAAGAGAAGATTGGTTGAAGCGACTAGGGCGAAGCCTTTAGACAATAAAAAAGCACTAGCTTATAGTGTTTACTGGGAAATACGGCATTCTTTATAGGTCCTTAACAAAAAAAATTTTTTTGGACCTAAGTAGGTCCATTTTTAAAAAAAATATATAAAACACCTCATGTTCCCGACTGTAATTTAACCGCTAATAGTGGTATAGACATGAGACCTGCTCAGTTAAAATTCTAATTAAGTGTACTTTAACCATACTTAAAGAAAATATTTTTTTTTTTTAACCTTGGAAATTTTTTTAATTTTTTAATTTTTCAAAAACTTAGGGTCAGAGTTAAAAATTAAAAACAAATATTTTTTTTATATAAAATTTAAGTTATGTTCTTATGACCCATATCATCTTTGAACCAATTACCAAGTTTTTTTTTTGCTATTATTTACGGCTTCAAACATGGGTATATTGCTGAAAACTACGTACTAATTACCAAACTTTTTCCAGATGTTTTATTCACTTATAAGTAAGTATTGCATAATTTTCGTTCAGTCACATTGGTGTTGTGGGTCATTAAATTAGGTAGTTTTCAGCGAAATACACATGTTTGAAGCCGTAAATTAATAGCAAAAAAAAACTTAATTGGTTCAAAGATGATATCGATCATAAGAACATAACTTAAATTTTATATAAAAAAAATATTTGTTTTTAATTTTTAACTTTTTGTCCCCAAAAAGTTTTTGAAAAATTTTAAAAAAAATTTCCAAGGTTGATAAAAAAAAATATATATATTTTCTTAAAATATGGTTATAGTACACTTAATTAGAATTTCAACTGTGCAGGTTTCATGTCTATACCACTATCGGCGGTTAAATTACAGAGTCGGGAACATATGGTGTTATTGGATAATTTTTTTTTTTAAATAGATCTACCTAGGTCCAAAAAAAAATCCACTAGTTAATTAACAACTATTATGGTTATTATGGTTAGATATTTTTTTATGAAACATGTTTTGCGACACCAGCACATAGTGCTTTTATAAAACCACTCCCTCCATTAGTTCTTGACATAATTATATATATTTTTTTTATTAATAACTAACAAATATTTTTAGGAATCATTTAGAATGTCCGGTGGCGGACTGTGTCTGTAGATGTTACTCCTTGGATTCTACGAGTCGCTATTGTTCATTATAACATCAATTCTCTTAAATTGTTATTTATATATGTATTCGTAAGTAAAAATAAATTATAAATAAAAAATATTGAGGTTTATTTTTATATATATATATATATATATATATATATATATATATCAAGAAGTAAGATAATTAGTCGATCTTAAACAGAATAACAAGAAAATAAATAAATAAATTTGGGAGTATTATAACCATATCCTGTCAGTATATCAGACTATACTTACAAACGTTTTTAAGATATGGTTTACAATTCAATAAAAAAAAAAAAATTGTGTTGCGTAATAAATAATAAATAATTTTTGTTTAAATATTAAATGTACAATAATATAATAATTTTTTCTCCCTAAGGTTTTTAAATATAAAACAACAAAAAAAAAATTCATAAAAATGTTCAATAATAATTAGTTGTGGTCTATAAATCGTAATTACTACGTTTTTTTTTAGACAAAACATGGCTATAAAATATAATTAAAAATCTAGGATTACTCCATTCCAAATGTGTTGCTCTCATCTATTGCCAACAAGAGTTTTTCACTAAGTATATCTTGAGTGGTGTAAGGTGGTAGATCGAGACGATTGAAACATGTATGTGCCCTAATAATAAAAAATTAAAAATGTGTTTTAAATTTTAACATACCAAACCAACCAATCGGAGAGTACTCAAATAATTTTGAAATATTAAGCAGAAAACTACACTTAGTATATAATTATACATACCTTGGTAAGCTATTAGTTTTTCCCCATTTCTCGATGCAAAATTTTCTAGGTCCAGTAGATCCACGAAGTGCTGAAAATCCTTCATAGGGTATACTGGACGTACCAGTAACAAACTGAAGAAGCCTCAATCTTTGTTCGTTGGTAAATTGTTCAATAGAAGACCAAAACCATCGAATAATTGTATGTCCATCGTGATAACCTAAAATAAAATATAAATAATATAATTAAATTATAAAATGAACTAAGGCAGATAACATAGAAACGCAAGAAATCTACAATTTATAACTTATTACACTTAGCCACATTTTTTATATATTTTTTTCTGAATTCTGTTTCGTGTGTTACATTTTTAAGTTAAATCAGTTAAATCAACTTTTTAAGTTCTAAGGGCAATTTAAGCATTTTAAACTCTTACGAATACTTTTGGAGTTAATAGCAATTGAAGGCAGAAGCACAGAATACTACAATCAGAATAGACACTGATAAAAAATTACACGGGCAGCATATGCCGCCGCAAAATCAGTCAGCCATATTCTCGGAGAACAATCAGTATATATATATACATATGTAGTTATTTTAAATAAGTTTTTGTTCTTTGTTCCAAAAAATATTTTATTTATATACATTTACTTACTAACTGACATTCTAAATGAAAAATTATTTAATTTTACTATTTAAATAAAATTATGCAGAGTTGAAATTGAAAATATATTTATCTATAATTTGTTATTATTTGTGTGTTAAAAAAATGTGTACTTGAAAACGACAATTGGATAATGTTTGCTTATAAAACTACAATTCAGTTAATTACTTAATTTTTTTTTTTTTAATAAATTTTAATATTTATTTACATTTTTATTTAAATACATTTTTTTTTTATGTAAATGCCCAGGGGTTAATGCTATTATTCTCTGCAACCACTACACAGCCATACTTCCCCTCCAACTTATTTCTTTTAAGTGCTAAAAAGTTATAATTGGCCAGTAATTTTTGTTTCAACAGGCTAATCTTTATTAAATATGTATTTACAAGACACTATTTAAATGTAAAAAGTTGATCAAATTATAAAAAACCATATGCATTCACTAATTACCTGATCTATACTCAGTATTATTTCTCCAGTCGGTTAAATCAATTTCAACAGTTCCCGCAATGACTAGTTCTAACTCTTGTGCATCGAAGACCGACACTAATCGAGGTTCGACAACATCATAAAATCCTTGGACTAGAGCTTCAGTTTGTTCGGTAACACCACGTTCCAATCGCCATTTAACTATTTTGTCAATGTACTCCTGTAAAAATACAAAAATTGAATATTATATTATAACCATAACATTTTAATATAAAATCCTATCACTAATAAATTACTTTTTTATTTTTCTCCGTAACAAAAATTCGTTGACCACCAGGTTTTAATTCTTTCTCTACAGTTTGTCCAAATACTTCTTCAGTAACCGAAAATGTCAGGTCTAACATTTCCCCCGATATGTCTCTCTCTTGTATCCAACACAACGATTGGTGAAACTCTCGATCGACTGACTCCAAATCGCTTAAACTCATTGGTCTAGAAGCATATTTTATACAAATAAATAACGCTATTTTATAAAAATGGATGTGGTATTCTTACAATTTTAAAAGAGTCTTGTAAAATGGTCGAGTGAAAAAGGCATCTAATAAGTACTGATGTACTAATGCTAAACCTAAAACTCGCCCACTAAACCTAAACCAGTCTTCTTTGTTGTTGACAAACGCCGCCGACATTGGCGATATTTGAACAGTATAAGTATCGTTAGCCGAATATTCAAATAGGCCGTAATAAGGGTTGAACAACTCTCTGGATATTAGGAAAAAGAACTCTCTGGACGGTCCGCCATAATCGAGTCCTTCTTCGTTATCAAACTGTGCAGATAATTTACATTTTTGCAAATCCTTTTTGGGCATGCTCATTATTTTGTTATAGGCATCTTGCAAAAGATGATCTCGCCGTACATCGATTCTACAAAACATATCCAGTAAATTAACAACTAATGATTAGTATTGTGATTTCTCATATTATTATGAATTACTTTTAATGCAACCCATGTTATTAATAAAAAACAAATGAACCTCTAAAAAATGCATGGTAAACCATTTTATTTATAGTGTTTGGTGCAACACAGAGTTACCAAAAATGCTATACATGCAACCTTTTCTATTTTAATTAATGTTAACTATTTTTAATCTTCTTACTTAAGTTTTCCCGGTCCTTGTCCGTATCCTTTGGTTTCCAATTTCTTGTAAAAGTTCCTAAGTTTGGCTTCGAAATCTCTTTTGAACGGAGGAACAGTTCTATTTGCTCTGTTCATAATGGGTGATTGTTGAGGCGATATCCTAATATCTCTTACTCGAACTGGTACATAACTCATTATTTCATTCTCAAAAAGACTAAAATTACAATAAAAAAAAATTATAATACAGTTTAATACAACAAATGCATCAATATGATCTCTTACCTCAATAAAATTGTGAGTTCTAGTTCGTTTCCAAACGTATCCAAAGCTGGAGTACCATCGATCCTAATTTGATTAATTTTATCTTTTAGGTTTTTATCCAAAGAAAATTGTGGATACCGCTCGGCTAATATTTCCAATATATTCGGTTGACGGATAAAAGCGACAACTTTTTCATTATATGCTGTGGGTATATCAATCGAGTCGTTTAGCATGTTATCAATGTGTGTAACTGTCGGACGAGGCGGAGGTATTGGTGGTTCCTGAGACGTAGAAGGCATCAGTACAGAGAAGTCATTTAGCGGCAATCGTGGATCAATGAACGTCGTTATCTTTGTAGCTTGATTTATAAAAAATACCTATTAAGAAAAAAAAAAACGGTTTTTATTTGTTTGAACAGCAATAATCGATGGACAATTTAAAATATATGTTATTTTCTTACCTTTCCAGCTGCATCTGTTTTAGAAGCCCAGCCTCTTGGAAGCGGAACTCTAGTATTAGCAAACAAATTCAGCAAATTCACCAAATCACTATGACTTTGATACCGTTGAAACAACGAAGGGTGATTACGTATTTTAGGTACTATATATTTTAGGGTTGACGAGCTATTATACAGCGCTAAAGCCCTCTTAAAAAAATTTAATAAAAAAAAAGTAATTTAGCTTTAAACTAATAAGTTTTAATTTTAAATAAAAAATTTAAGTTTTCCTAATACTGACCTGATTTTGTTGTAACAAAGTCGAGAATTCAATTTTAGTAATAAATTGTAAAGCTATATTCCCGTGATCTCTAAATTTCGTTTTTAATGTATCTAAACGTAAGGAATCGGCTCTTGATAAAGTCATGGGTTCAGATTCTTGGGATATAGTTCTCCGTATACTTTGGTATCTATAAGAAAATTAAATTTTAAAATCAATTTTTAATATAATATCTAACGTTATTTCAATAGCCAACACAATTAATATATAATCATTCGTATACTAAAAAACACCAACTCATCATTCTTTGTACGTTTATCATTATATTTACAACATTTTAAGAAATTACCTTCTGTCCAGCTGCTGTCTCTGTTGGTAGTAATGCATATCACAATTTTGTTTCGAAGGTCTATGCCAAGTTGTCGTCCGATTTAGATGATCAATATAGAATATTCTACCGTGACTGTCCATTCTAGCTTCCCAATCTAAATAACCAATTGTGACATTCTACATGTATTTCATGAATATAGAATATACAATAAATGTATGTTACCTGGCGGGAGCGTTGTATCTTTCCTGCTTTCCGTTCTTTTTGGCCTCCTGTTTTCATCGGTTAACATCATAAATCTCGAATGTTCCCTAGTGTCATTTGAAAGAGTTTTTTGAACAGAACATTTCATATTAACATGATCGCCTGCTCTACTTGAAGCCCTCGTTAGAGGTCTATGAGTTTGCCACTCAATAACAGGGGAAACGCTAGTGAAATCGGGACTGTTTATTAAATCTTTAGGTTTTAACTGACGTAAGGTATCCAACGAGATATTGGTGGTCGTCGGAACGGCCCAAGTTCTTTCCAAAGGTTTATGTTTGTAGGTACGTGGCGGAAGAGGAGGTGGTGGTGGAGAATCTGGAACAGGAGTATCCAACCATATTTTTAAGTAATCGTTGTTTTCTGCGACTGGAGTTTTTGAATCAACATATTGCACGTGTACATCTGCTTTTGTTTCAAGAACTTTGGCTTCACACTGTGGCAATTTTTCTGAATTATCGGTTGACTCAGTACAATCGTCACAAACTTTCAGCTGTTTTGCATCCTCGTTACTGTTGGCTGCTAATTTGTACACAGAGTCAAGATCGACTGGCTGTGACTCAGCCAGACAAGACAAGCCGCTACAGTAACGGAAGCAAAAGAATTTTCCATATCCTATAAAATGAAATACTGTTGTTATTTTCCTTTATTTTATTATTCTAGGAAATATTAAACTATAATATAAGAACATTAATAAACGCAATTTTTTTTTACTTATATTATAAATGAATACAGAGTAAACTATGAGTATTATATTTGGAAGAAATATAATTGAAAAACAATTTAAAGAAACTTAAGTTGAACAATATTGGACTAAAAACAGAAAATCCCTCGACTGTCTATTAAAAGGTCCGATTACTAAGCTTATTACTTGTTTATTTTAAATACGCAATAAAATAATATTCAAATATTTCTGTATCGAATAAAATATACATAAAAATTAAGGACCTAAAATCTTGGTACAAGCTATGTCGTTTCCTAAAATTTGTTTAGTCTTTTTCAATTACATGTTCTTCAAATATAACATTTACGACCAATCTTAATTTCTTGTGTATTTAAAAACAAAGTATTTAATTAAAATGAAAATGTATATATGTATATATATATATATATATATGATAAAATTAAGCAATCAACTAAAATTTACAAATGTATTTCAGTTATTAATTCAAAATTGTTTACAGCATTTTATATAAATTAAAAAATGTATATACATACCTTCATTCATGGATGGGCAGTGAGGGAAATCAACTAGCCACATCGTACTCCCTTTGGACACTCCATTAGAAGCTCCATTGACGACACAGGTCATAACATTATTCTCATCTAGATTAACACATAATGACACATGAATATGACGAATTAAGGAAAAAATAACGGGAAAATAACCATACACAATTTTATTTTGTAATATGTTATTAAAATGTAATGAAAAATAATATTACATTAACTCATTTCAAACAAATATTTTGTTCAACGTCAGCTATTTTAAGTGTATAATGATATCCAGTTTAAATTCAATTAGAGCTACCTCTTTAAGATATCATTGTCATCAATTTTTAAATTAACTGATGAAAATTACATCAACAAAAAACAAATTTAATTTTGATAGTGTATATTATCAAATAACAAAATAGGAAAATCTCTAGCAACACTTGTGGATATTATAAAATAGGTAAATATGATATTATCAAATTATTTAAACTGTATCTTTATATATGCTAGCCTACGCTACAACTCCTACCATAATTTTAACATAATTTTCATTTGAAAATGGTTAATTTGTAGTGGCCATCTTTTCTCTCTCAGCCCAGTGAATCAAAAGAATGAAGAACACTATTATACAATATTAATAATAAAATAAAACTTGACTCTTAAAGTTGCTACGCTTTAATATGTAGAGAAAAATGGAAGAATTTAGTTTAAAATAAATATGGCTAACTATCTTTTTGTATAACTATGAAAACAATTTTAAATAACTATTATAGGCTGATAAAAATATACTAACAAAACTACATCAATGTGAAGATACTATCATTATGAATAGATACCATCAAATCATAGGTCATATTTATTGAGATTATCTATCTCCAGCTATCTATTCAAAAAAACAATTACACTTCGGACTTAAAAGTATACAGGACTAATAGTTATTTTATAACAATACATATCAAATTATAAAAAAATTTATAATTTAACCATGTATATGGCAATTTTATATTGTCTTAATTATACATAGAGAGATTGGGACTAAAATGTGTAATTTATGTACAAATAGGATTTCAGTGAAAAATATTTCATTTATCAAAGGAAATATTTTAAATATAATGAGTGATAAGTAGTATCTATCTGTGTACCTACAGACTGGCGTCATACTGCATTTTTATATTAAAAAAAAAAAATAGAGACATTAAAAAAACTCAAATGGAATGAATTTATTATATAACTTAACGATAATGAAAACATTGAAATCGACAGCGAAATCAAAGTAGAATGTTATGATATGTTTTCATTTATGCAACAAATTAATAAGGTTGAGCGTTATTAATTGATATTGTTTCATGCGTAAAACAATTGAGAATCTAAGAAAACTGAATACAACTACGAAATTGTATAATAAATCATAAAACTAAGAATCAATTGGTATGGAAAATGTATACCTTCTAGTTAATAAATACTCGCTTCCTGTATTAAGAAATTTGACGAGAAAAACCCAAAGTTCTGGTTTCTAATATTTTAGTAAAAATGTTATCAGTTGTTTTTTGTCATGATTAATAAGAACAAAACGCATCTATTATAAATGTCAAATGTTAATGTGTGTTCAACGTACAATAAAATACATATTTTGCAAGCGGCGCAACCCGGGATTCGTCTTCAGAGACTGGTTACCTTGAAGAAAAATATACCATTTGTTAAAGGAATTTTTCAAATATTCAAAAAAGGACATGCATCTGGCATATTTCGGAGAGTTACAACCCCCACCCTTTTGGTTGCCAGACACTATTGCATATAATAATAATAAGTATAAATATAACAAGTTATTATCAATGTTACATCCGCTATACAAAAAATATACCTAGCAAACTCTAATCCAATTAAGCATAGGATATTATGAAAAATAAAATGTTCTTGCGCAATCATAAAGAAAAAAAATTATGCTTAACACATAGGTCTTGTGTATACACGTATTGGAATAATCCTATAATGTACAATAATTATCAAACGTACCTTATAAGTATCACCGAAGAGCTTCAATAAATGATACGACCAATTGCTTTAGAAAATTGCTAAAAACACTGACCGGAAATGAACGGCGACTGCTAATTCCGCAGAAAAAGATTTAATAGGGTTTTAAAACACACGCTCACACAAACCGAGAGGAAAATAATACATAAAAGCAGTGCCATGCCCTTAGAACGGATATATATGACCATTTGCCAATGAATGAAGTGAATAGATGAATGAAACGGAAACCCCCCGCCTACCGACCCCACTCTCACTTCCGGTACATAACCCAAAATTACTATGGGCCACGAAAACATGAATGAACGCACGACTACCAACCTAAACGCGACCTTCATTATTTTATAGAAAATGTTTTCTATTTTTTTTGCCAACATAACGAAATTGAACATTAGTACTAAGCCATTGACAATAAATATGTGAATGTAAAATTTTTTACGTACATTCAGATGTATATATATATATATATATATATATATATATATATATATATATATATATATATTTACATTGTATTTATACAAGGTAGACATTAATACTGTTACAGTAAAAATCTATACAACTCTTTTATAGAATTTAATTTTTTTATTTAAGATCAAATCGTTCAATTAATACTTAAAACCATTAAAAATTAACAACTATTTTTTTTTAAGTACAATATGTGAGGCGAGTGCGAGTTTTTTTATTTTGAGCGTATAGATAAAAATTACACAGTACACGTACTTGATTTATACAGGCCGATCCAGTCGTCATTTTCATCAGTGACACTTTTATTTTTTAAAATATTCCAAACAACCTTGATTGATAGTCTTAAAACATTATTCGAAATGTGAGCTTTGACGAGAGAATATTTCACATAATTATTTTTCACTTTTGAATTAAGGTAAAATGGTTCCCTTGAATTTGTTTGATTTGTACCATCTTCGGTAAATGTTGGCAGCTTATAAATTAAATTATTAATGTTTGTCCTTAGAGTAACACTTCCTGTTGACTGTGTTATAGAAATATTAGAAGTATGAGTTTTTGGTAAAATTTCCTTTGACGTTCGCAAAATATGTGAAGCCAGATTACAAAAATTAAATGATAAAATCAGAATAACACACTCTTTAAAAAATTTTAAATTACTATAATTTTACTAATAAAAATAAATAATCGAATGCCGATAAATAATCTATAAGTTATACTAAGCAAATCATTATTAAAAATATAATAAAATAAACATTAAGTAGGAAAAATATTATATTTGAAACGGATTAGTTGACTTTTAAAGATTATTTTATAATTATATTATTAATTATATACGATTAGGTTTTCACTTTTTCTAAGTTTGTTATAATAATTATTAATTAATATCTATTCAGTTAATGATTATGATAGTTGACAGATAATATTTATATCAAAGAGTTTCCTATACCATCTAATCTGTGCTTTTACCACGGTATAGATATAGGAAATGTGATTTTTATTAAGGTGATAAGATAACATTCGTCTATTGATAAGAAATGAACTAAATACCACGGTCTTATAAGACCGTGCTAAATACTAATAAGAAAAATTTGTGTAATTTTATCCAAGTTTCAACGGCTGTATAAAAAGTAACTTATTTTATTAGTTATATTTCATGAGATTATTCGATGGGTTCTAAATAATTTTAAATCTTGTGTTAATATTCTGATAAGTATGTGTGTTCATTGTATGTGTAAGTAATAATTTTTTCTTTTGTTGCTCATTTATATACCTAATTATGAATTATTACTTGAATTACAATAATAGTAATTGTTGTGAATTTTTTGTATAATTAGGTTAGAATGAATACTGATTGTAAGAACTATGATTCAATTATTGATGATTTACTTCTCACTGAGCAAAATGTAGCCAAAAAAAGTTATATTGAAGGAACTAAAATATATTCAGAAAAGTCATTTGAAGATGGCCAACAATTAGGTTATAATAAAGGATACAATATTGGATTAGAGATCGGTTTCTATGCAGGTGCATTACAAACTATTGAAAAATTAAGTAAAAAAGATAAAATTGTACTTTCCGATAAAGATTTAGATATTTTTAAAACAATATCTTCTGCAATCGAAACATTTCCACAAACAAACAATAAGTGTGTTAACATTATTGATAGTCTTAACAAAATAAAAGGTTTGTATAAAAAGTTTTGTTGCAATTTAAAAATAACAAACTTTGATAAAACCTTGCTTCATTATGAAAATGGAACAGTTGAGATCTAAATTAGAAGAAGTCATTTTATTTCTTAAACCATACTTACCTATTGCTAATAGTCATGTAGTTAATTTTATCACTAATAATCTATGGGATAATGTTATTCCTGAAGAAATAAAAAGAGATATGAGTGTAAAAAGTTCACACGTTCTTTTCTCAAATTTTTGGTCGGCCAATCCAAGTCCTGATTCACTTACAAGGTTTGTTGCTTTAGCCAAATGCAACAATTTAGAATCATACCCAAAATTTTGCTATAAAAAGTTAGACAGTGTTAATACTTTACTTCAAAATTATGGCATTAACTCTGAAAGCGACACTTACGAACTAAAAGAATTCATGGCGGCCAAGAAGATGCACGAGGTAGAAGTAATGGCTAGAGTAGTTGGAGACTTTGCTAAAGTGGTTGGTACAAATATAATTGTAGACATTGGAGGTGGAAAAGGATATTTGAGTTCGTTACTAGCATTGGCACACAGTTTAGATGTACTCGGAATCGATTCTCAGTCAATTAATTCGGAAGGAGCAAAAAAAAGAACATTAAAATTTGAGGTTTGTCAATGCATTATTCTAACGACTTAAATAAGTAATATACTTTTATTTTTTTCTAGAAATATTGGATGTCAATTTGCAAAAAACCTACCACTACTAAAACTCCCTGTCCAATAATCAAAGAAAAGCTCAATAGCAACGAAGAATACTACAAAAAGTATAGAAGGAAGCCAATAGTAGTTGGAAGCACTTACAAACAAACAACAGAATACGTAACTGAAAATACTAAAATAGCTACTTTAGTACAGAACGAATTTACTGTTGATAATAACGAATGCTTTGGTCTAGTTGGACTGCATACATGTGGTTCATTGGCGACGACTTGCATTAAGTTATTTGCTGAACCTCAAAATCGTTTAAATCTTTTAGTGAATGTAGGCTGCTGCTATCACCTAATAGAAGAGGAATTTACTGTCAATTCATTTTGGCAAGATGTCGAACAGGCACTAAATGAACAAGAGTCGTACGGTTTTCCTGTTAGTCAATTTTTAAAAGACAAACATTTTAAACTTGGACGTGACGCTAGAATGTGTGCTTCTCAATCACCAGACAAAATTTTTAACTTAAAAGACGTAGGTAAACATTATACATAATTTAGTAATTTCTAAAGAAATATTTAAACTACACTAAAATATTATATATATATTTTTTTTTTTTTCAGTTAGCATACCCAACAAAACCTTTATTTTATCGTTCCCTGTTACAAGTGTATTTATTACAAGAACTAAGCATCGATGAGGTTAACAGACAACATGTTGGACGACTAGCACATAAATGTGCAACCTTCAATGAATATGTCCATAAAGCTGTCAAACGTCTCAAACTTAATATCAAAGTACTACAGATGTTTTTGTAAATCTGTGTTTGGACGATGACACTTTTAAAATAAAAAAAACAAAATTTACATGTAAATGTACGACACAAAAGTATCTATGCATGAACAGTTTAAAATATTTACTTAAAAATGTTTATACTGTTGGAACAGAAATATGTGGGAAATGTCGTCAGCTTTTTTAATTTTTCAAAACAGTTTTTTTTCTGTTACTTCATAAATATTATAAACTTAATGTTGCCACTTAGAGTAGACATGAAATATATTTAAATTGTCTAAAATTTCTTTCATAAAACAAAATGTCATCGTCTGAGTGCAGTTTTATATGCTGACTGTACCTCAACCCAAACCGTTGTATATATTGGCTCCCGAGGTAGACTAATCAAAAACTTATTTACAGTTTTTCCATGAAAAATAGTTTTGCGGGAAACAAGTATGTGAGGGTGGTATTTACAGTAACCGTATACAATTTTTACAATGGAAAGAGAAGAACATTATCTGTGCTGTACCGTTTTTAGTTTTTTGATATCTTAAAAAAAGAAGTTTTCTATTCACTCGAGTCTCTGGAGCCAATACCTTTATACATGGAAAGGATCACATTGGGGACAGTATGTAATATATATTTTTTAAATTGGTTGTTAATTTTTTATTTAAGGTAGATGATGAAAAAGTCAATAATTTGTACAACTCTCATCTAGTCGACTATGAAAAATTACAAGTGTTTTTCCTTTTAAAGCAAGTATTAGCGCCCGTTATAGAAGGATTCATTTTAATGGATAGATTACTTTATCTTTATGAACAGGTAAAGAATTACTTTGAAATATATATTACTAGGATAAAAATTGCAGTACAAACCTAATTGAGGTATCTATCAGTTAAAAATTCATTAAAATAACTATAAATTATTTATTTAACTAGGCGGGTGTGGAAGAAAAGGAGGCTTTATTAAAACAAGACATCTTTTGTCTATTCAGTCTAAGATTATACCGCTCAGTTGATGAGAACTCGTCACCACTGCGCATCCCTCCACCTCTAGACTCCCCGCGTCTAGGTCTAGGTAGAATATTAACGACCAATCACAGAACGTATAACAACGGCTGAAGGGGCCAACAGTGTTCAGCAGTTTAAACTACATGCGCGAAGCGGTTTAATCTTACACTAAATAGACTATAGTACAACATTTTATATAAATTTGCGAAAACAAATATAAGATACAATTTATTCACTTAATATAAACACATTTTAATTAAATATATAAATATGCATTTTTAAGTTAATTACATAACTTGAATCGAAGCCTGCATTGAAATTGCACTTTTATAAATTGCGACATATATCTTATGATACAATCAATTTTATTTTTCAATTTGAACAGAATAGTGATTTAATCCTTTTTTCTTTCTTGTCTATTTCATAAAATGTATTTGTAGTAATAAATAAATTTACACTATTTACATGTCTTGACTAGTTGGCCAACGTTTCGGAACAATTGCACATTCCATCTTCAGGGCTTTGGTTCAACGTTACTCGTACCGCGCTCTCCTGCAGAGTGCAGACTGACCGATTCGCTTCCGTGCTCTGTGGGCTTAGGTTATATACCATACCCCCCCACCGTATTTCCGCTTCCTCTTGCCGCTGCCAGCTGTTTTCTACGGCCACGCCCCTTTGCCTTGGCCGGCTGCCGCATGACTGATTTTCGTTTCCGTTATCAATAGTTTCTTTCTGTATTTCCGGCTCTCTTCGTCCCGTTTTGTCTCCGGTTTCCTTTGGTAATTGATGTATCCACCGGTTTCCACGTTTTGCTCAATTTCCAACCATCTTCTCGGTTGAAGTTTGTTGTGCATTTTTCGATTTCTATGGCTTCCCTCACCATGCGTTTCGAGTAATGGAATTCTCGGGACAGGACCTTGATTTCTTCAAAGTTTACGCTATGACCTTCTTGACCCATGTGTTCTGCTACGGCCGATTTTCCAGTTCTTTTGTAGTCCACATCTTTTTTGTGTTCTATTGCACGTACTTCAATAGGTAATTTTGTTTGACCGATGTATGAATGACCACAGGTACACTGAAGTTCGTAGAAAAAAAATTACATTAAAGCTTAATCTAGAAAGGAAAAAGTAATGTCAGTATTTGTGATGCGTAACATAATATACTTAATAGCTTCAGGAGAATAGAATTATTTAATTTAGCAAAAATAAAACACATTTTAATTTTGAAAATCTAATCTGATAATTTTAAAATTATATTGAATTACTATTGTATTAAAAACAAATGTTTTAAAATTGTTTTAGGGTTTTACTGAAGCTTTTGTGGCGCAGCTATTTGATCCATTATTATCACCAAGGAATCATGCTATTATAGCATTAAATAAAAAAACATAATTTGTAAAATAAATCATTATTTTAATGATTAAAAAATGTGTTGATATTTAATATTGTTTTCAAATTGTCTAACACACAACAAACGTTTCATTCATAGTGGACACTATCATACAAATAAATGCACCAAATTGAATTGTTGGAATTCAATGCACGTAATATTTAAACGGTGTAACCTTGTAGCATTTGAGCATTGTCTTAGATCCTGTTATAAGTTATTGTGGGATCTTGAGAAACTTGAAATTTCGTCAACTGCTGGTCGACTTCGGATGCCTTGGCGAGTCCTAAATTGTCTACGGCTTGACAAAGTATATTCTCGTGAACATAAAAGGCGGAGTCGTTTATTTTTCAAATAACCCTCCGTCAGTCACCTGATTTCACTTAGAGCATGGCTTTCTTACATTTCTTACCTGAGTCGCAATGTGACTAAGTATGACTGGTCTACAACTGTAGACCACCCACGTAACGGAGCGTTAAAACAGTAGGTTGGGGCACAGTGGTGACGAAGCATAGTAGACATTAAATACTTATTACATGTTTTAATTGCATTACTACGATCATACAAACAAGATAGATTACCTTAAAAAATTCAAAAAATCAAATTTCTAATTATACATCATAATTATTTTAAACTATGAATTTTAAAACGAAACATAAAATAATTACAAAAGTAATAATATTTTCGTAATAGGTATTTACACAATACAGTCACACAATGTCTAAAACCTTTACGGATCAATGTTGGCTTCGGATAGTTGACACTTGGCATCCCTAAAAGAAAAAATATGAACACTGCATAATGTTTGGTAATCATTGGACTGTTTATTGCGTTTTAAAAAATATTGTAATCGCTATTCGTGGAAGTCATAGCCATGTATATTGTATACATTGTACTGAATCTGAATGTGATAAATGTATTTATTTACGCGCCGTTAGCCGTTGAATAATGATTTGTGTTTGTTTTTGGCTGGAAAAACATTCATAAACACTTGCCATTATACAATACAATTCCAATATAGATCAGTTATTTATTTTGTTTTACAAGTTTTTATACGGATGTAATTACAATGGTGAGCCGAATGTAAGTATAAAATGAAATTATAAAAGTAAACTATTCAAAATTATATTATGTTATTGTAAAAATCTAATTAGTAGTGAAAGAAAATGTTTTTTCAAATTATTTTTATTTGACAACCGAAATAATAATGATTATAAGAGGTGTTGTTTGTTAATATACGGTACTTTTTTTTTATATCGTATAATACGGTATTTTCTATCTTCTATCTTGTTCTTCTCTTTTCTAATAAAGCGGAGATTTCATTGGGGGGGGGGGGGGGCTAGCATTTTCCTACCTAAAATAACCCGCAAGGGCTTCACACTCCGAAATTCTTAATATCTAATATTAATTAATATTACAAATGTATAAATTAAATAAAAATCATAATAATTATAATACAATATTTTATTTTAACAAACTTATTAATTTTATAACCCATTCTAATTTGGGTAATTATTCATAAAAATTAACTTTTTTTTTTTTTACTCAATGTTTCGCACTCTGATATTCAATTAATGTATATTCAAATGTATTGTATTTTATGTTAATATAGTCTAATGTAACCTAAAATGGCCTTTGCCGCCGAGGGTAATAATAAAAAAAAATATATATGTATATATATATAACTTTAAAATGTCTCTTTAAACTTTAAGATGTACTCCCCCCTCGTATTATGTGGACTAATAATTGGTTTTAATTAATTTAAACAACAAACATTTTTTACTTTCAATTTAAAAAATTTTATAATTTATTTCAAACCTTTTTTTTATTTTCGGTATTGTGTTCTTAAACTGTTACACAATTGGGCAACGTTGCACGAAATATCTTTCTCAATCATTTGGTGTTTAGTTGTAAAATCATTTTTCTTTGGTCTTTAATAGTTCTATGGTGTATGAAGTGCTATACTTCATATTAATTAATCTATTATGTTTAAAACGCTTTTATTTGAATGAAACTTTTGGCGCAAATTGTCGAAAATTGTAAAGCCACAAATTTTGAATTTCGATGATGCCAACTTATTTTTAGTTTTATTTGTATTGCCCATAAGGTATACTTTTCAGTTATATCTTATTTTTGAATGATTTAATTGTTTTAGTGATTTTTCTGAAGTGGCAGCTTTAGAAAAATATCGTCTAACTTGGGAAAAAAGTGAAATATTACATACATATGAATTTGAAGGTATAGAACCCGATTTGTATACCCAATTGATTAATAATTTTAATGTAAGTAGTGTTTTCAGGATTTTTCTGGCTTACCGTTGACCGTTTTAAACTGTTAAGGAGCAGCCTCTACAAGGACATATTTTTAGTCGCAAACAACTCATTTTAATATTTGTATAGGCAATATTTAAGAAAAAAGCTAATTTAATAAATTTCTACAATATCAATTAGTTTTCCGGTAATTAAAAAAAAACATATGAGTTCTAACTCCTGAAAAATTTTCAACTAAAAGGTCGTAAAATTACATCTAAAAAACACAAAAAAACTTGCATCCCTCGTGGGGAAGTGGGAAATAAGAATAAATTAAATTTGAGACAATTGACGTGTAAATATATACATATTCCTTATAAATTTCAATTGATTTGACCATTTTTTTCGAAACTATAGCAAGTAAAATTTGTTAAATTTTTTTTCCAAATTTTGAGGGTGAAGTAGTAAACTTTTTCAACTTTTTCTCCCCTTAAAAGTACCAACTAAAAAAATGGGGTATATAGAGTATCTACTCGAAAGACTTGGTCCAGTATTAAGGGGTTAGAACTAAAAGTAGTCAGGATTTTCAAAAAATCGATTTTTTTCTTTTTGCATTTTCTTAAAGTATGATGTCTTAAAAATATTATCTGAAAATTTTAAGTTAATCCAAGGAATAGATGACACGATGTAAGTAATTAAATAATTAATATTTCTGTACATAAATCGAGTATATAAAACTTTAAATGAGTTTTTCTCGAAATCATGTTTTCAAAGTCGGTGACCACTGTTATTCAAAAACCGCTTGACAGATTTGAATGAAATTTACACAAATTATTGAAAGCATAAAAAACTAGTGCTTGATCGAAGGATTTTTTTTTTATTAAAAATTATATGTTTTATAAACAATAAACTAGTACTTTTTTCCTTGAAAATCCGTGAGTAAATGATCAGAGGCCCAACAAATATAGCGATAACTTTGTCCACAATAATTTTTTTTTGAAATTTTTGTCAAATTAAGTTAAAACATAATATAATAACTTTGTATTATTTGTTTTATAAAATAAATTCTACTACTGTCAATAAAAAATTATTTGAAATACCTACTAATTTTTTCACCTCGCTGACTACCCCTAACCCCTTAAAAAAGTTACAGTGTATCTTTCTTGTACAGATACTAGAAAAGCTTACATTATTGTAAAACGTACAGCTGCTAAAGCATCTGTGAAAACCTGTTCAAAGTCAAAACATAATGTTTAATTACATACATAGCGGCTAGGTTCTGTATTCTTTATAAAAAATAAAAGAAAAAAAATCAAAAAGTAGATATCTCTGCTGTAGTTATTCTGCGAGCTACAAATTAAATTTTAGTGAAAAATTGCATATACAATGCGCCTTAATAAATGCTATTGTAGAGGCAAATTTTAGCGGCAATACCATACATATTACATATTATACCTGATGTTCCTTGGCTTTAGTGGTTTACCCCGAAGGGATCCCCTACGACTGCGGACCGACTAGTAGCATTAGGTGCTAATTGCGGGCCGGAGAAGGTGTGTCTCAAGAAGTGACCAGTCAGAAGGCCACTTTCGGAGGGCTCTACGTCACGTTAGTTGCCTTTTACGACAGGAGCGAGGACCTTGGTAGAATTCTTTCTCCCCTAACCACAGGGATAATCACGGCCAGCAAGCTCGATGGACTCGATGTAGGTACACGGCCAGGGTGCGGCTCGTCACCAGCCTGGCGTTCTGTACCTCTTTTCGAGTCGATGTGTTGAAGACAGACGTCTTCCACTATCTATATTTCAAAGTAGTCCTAGCATATTTATCGAGTGCCGTATACAATGCTCTGGTCTTCAGGAAAACTGGTAGATCGCATGGCCAAAGATAACCCGCCCTATGTACGGCTAACTCCAGTCTGGCCCTCGCAAGATTGTGCTTCTGGCAATAAAGGAGAACGTGCTCAACGTCTTCATTAGGAGCGCCACATTCGCATGTGGGTGTTTCCACTAAGGTAAACCCATGTAGCTTGGATCTGAAATTGCCATGTCCGGATAATAGTTGAACTATATAGTGATTAAGCCATATGGGCGTATTTATTCTAGTCCTGATGTCAGGAAAGAATTTCTTTGTCCATGCCCCTTTTCCTGTCGCATTCCACCTAAGCTGCCACTCTTCAATTCGCTCATTCCACTCGTGATCCGTTCGCCTTTTCCTCTCCTCTGCTTCTAAAGGTCTAAAACTTTCCACGGAAGCCTGGAATTTTGCCATCAGGTCGAGAGGGAGGACTCCAGCGATCACTTGTAGTGCGGGGTTCGATACCGTCCCGTAAGCACTTGTGATGCCAAGTAGCGATCTTCGCTGGATCTTGTATAGTGTCCGGCTTCCTTGGGCGTATTCAGCTGCGCGAAACCAGAACTTACATCCATACATAACTCTTGGGATAAATAACCTTTTATATATGGCCATAAGAGATTCTCTGGATTGTCCTCAGTCGATTCCATAGGTGCCTCTCAACCTTGTGAACAAGTCGAAATCTTTTCCATCGACTACCTTCAAATGTTGTCTGAAGTTTCTTTTATCGTCAATGGTAACTCCGAGATAGCTAGCATAAGGTACAGTTTTTATTCTGTCCCTACCAAATCCTACCGTAAAACCATGAATAAGGCCTCCTTTCAACACAACCGCAGTGGATTTGTTTTTGGAGAAAGTGAGCCCCCTCGGTTGACTCCAATTCTCTACAGACCTCAACATGTCTTCTAGGCGATTAACTATTTCTCGCCTCGTTGAACCCGAGACCAAGACTGCTACATCATCAGCATATGCCTGTATTCTGGCATATCGTGGTCTTTCTCTTCTCAGCAACGCTTCCATGGTGATGTTCCAAAGAAGAGGTCCAAATAAGGATCCTTGAGGACATCCTTTTGTTAGCTGCACTGTGTGGCTAACTCCTGCCATTATCAGAGAGGCATACCTGTTCCTTAGGTAATCCAGGGTAATTCTCCTAGTTGTTGTTGAACAACCTAGAGTGTTCATGTCCTCCAATAGCGAGGACCACTTTAGGTTGTCAAACGCACCAGTTATGTCTAGGAACGCACAGATGACATATGGCTCGTTGGCTTCGTCTACCCATTGCAACAGGTCTCCAATGGCATTGACAGTTGAGCGATCTTTAGTGTACCCATATTGGAGGCCACTGAGATTGGGAAGTGTTTCCTCCTTTATCTTATCGCAGATGACTTGTTCTAGAACCTTTGATAGAGTTGGAAGAAGACTAATGGGTCTGTAGGACTTCGGTAGAAGCGGATCTTTGTCTTTACCCTTTTTTATGGCCACTATATTGGCTCTTTTCCAGTGATTTGGGAAGACGCATTCTGTCAGACAGCTTTCAATCAGCTGCATGATATAGCCACTGATGTATGGCCACGCCATTCTAGCCATTTTGCCCGAGACCCTGTCAAAACCAGGCGCTTTATTTGGTGAGATCCGCCATAGTGCTCTTTTCAGTTGTTCTAAATCACAGGTGAAGGGGTTTGTCTCGCCCGCTATGGTTTGAAGTTGTTCCTGCTCAATGTCATGTGGAACAAGTGTGTCCATTAGTAATTCAATTGTTTCCTGCGGAGATTCAGTGAAAGTGCAGTCCAATTTTTGCAATGTTCTAAGAACTTCGGTATCCCTTGGTCCATTTTTCGACCATCTGAAAATTTTGCCCCACGGAGTGCTTGTGTCCGGTGTGCAAAATTGTCTCCATGATGTGGTTTTTGCCGCTCTGAGTTCCTTGGTATACTCATTTCTTGTCCGGCGATATGACCTTACATTCACCTCCGTCGGTGCTTCATTGGCTCTTCTCGACACTCGTTTCAGCCTCTTTCGCGTCTCGCCTAACTCTCTAGTCCACCAGGGAGGTTTGATAATAGACCTCTCCCGTCTCATCCTAGTTGAGCGAGTCACCGATTGCCTAATGATGTTACCCAGTGCAGCCGCTTTGGTGTCACGATCGTCATGCACCAGAATCTGCCTCTGATCGGCAGTCCGCGTTTCTATCTCTTGGCGGAACTTTTCCCAGTCCGTTCGATCTGTGTAAATATTTTTCGGACGCGACAGATATCCGTTGCTGGTGAGATGCACATCGAACGTAAGTATCCTGTGATCACTTATTGTTTCATATGGGATAACCTTCCATCCACTGGTGAGCTGCGTTAATCCCTGTGTAATCGTTGTAATGTCGATGTTAGATGAGCCAATATTGGAATGAAAAGTCGTATATTCAGATCTTTCATTTATAGTGCTCAGCCCGTTTTGTTCCAAGAACATTTCAACGATCTCTCCTCTATCGTCTGTTCTGTCACTATGCCATAATCTCGACCGGGCATTGGCGTCCATACCAATGATATGTTCACTAGTGATTTTGTCTAGTATGGCTTGCAGTATCCTAACATGTTCGCCTGTCGGCTGGCAGTATTTGAAGTATCCGGAAATTAAAGTGACTGGAAACTCGACTAGTTCAATTGTCACCACACAAAAATTTTCAGTGGCTAGGTCGTCTCTTGCAAAGATCTTGAGCCTTGGATTGAGAATGACAATAGATGCTCCATGTATTAGTGTGCTGATGCGTGGTCTGTGAGCTCCTTTGCTCAATAGCACTCTGTTTGGTGCAGCTTCCCAGCCAGACAGTCGACCCCTGCATGTATATGGTTCTTGAATTAACACAACATCGACCCTATTTGCTTGGCAGTACTGCAGCAACATGTCACTCGCTGAGATTCCTCGTCCCACATTATGCTGCACGATCCGAATGTCATTGACTGAGGTATTACCGCTCTGATTGTGCAGCACACCATTGTCTTGGCTCATGGCCATTAAAAGGTTGTTGCGTAGCTAGTTCTCCTCAAGATGCCGGCTAGAGCTCTGGTTCTGGAGGAGCGCGTTGGGTCCAGCGCCGATTGTTTTCCACCGCAATTTACACACTTTGGTGTATCTCCTTTTTTGGGACAGACAATATACTTATGACCTTTCCCGGCGCAATGGGCACAGATTTCCTCGGTTTGTGTACATTTGGCAATTATATGCGCAAATCCCAAGCAGTTATAACACTGTGTTACCTCCTCGAATTTGTTCGTTCGACACCTCATAAAACGAATGTAGATATGTTCGGCAATAATACTCTCATTATATGTCGGATGGATTTCGACCACCCAATTGACGGTTTCTCTTTCCCTCTGACCCCTTTTGAAGACGGGTTTGATAAAATCCGATGCATTCTCCGGGGGGATGTGTAGGCCTTCATTTTGTGCTGCAATGGCAAAAGTTAACTCTTTTGAATCAAGCTTTGACTCCACTCCATAAATAATGAGTCTCAGCCATCTCGGTTCCTGCTGTCTCAGGATATTTACATTCTCAGTGGCAAAGCCTTTTAGTGCATTGCCTGTGACCTCATCGCCGGCTTGTACAACAGTTTTTCCAGTCTTTGTGATGGTCAGATTCAGCTTGGGGGCTCCAACTTTTTTGGATACCTCCTTCCACAGCGTGCTCTTGGTATCTGCTCTGGTATCTGATGTGAAATTTAACTCAAAGGCCAGTGGAGGAGAGATGTCTCGATTGCGTCTAACTTCTTTCTCCGTGACACTGAACGCGCTTGTTTCCTGGAAACACTTCTATTTTTGTTTGTAGCGCTCTTTTTACGACCCTGCTGAACTACATTGGCCATGGTACGACGACTATTCCTCTGTTGTGTGTCTACTTGCATGAATTCCTTTATGGTATCCTCTTTTGTTCCATCCTCCTTATTGGCCGCTTTGGCTTTCTCATTGTGCATGACTTGAATGGCCAGTTGCGCCTTGAGTGATTCCACTACTATTTGTTTGGCACACAGATTGTCCGCAAATTGATTTACTAGTGTTTTTATTGTATCGCTATCTACCTGTGGGGGTGCAGTAGACTGGGCATCAGTAATCCTCTTCTCTTGCTTCAAGGCAAGAGCTTTTAGCTCGTCGAGCTTTTGTATCACGACTTTTAGAGTGGCTTTCTTTCTGGACTCCTCTGATTCCATTGTCAATTTTAACCATCCAATGTGGTCTAAAATCATCTGCATATTTGCGTGCACAACTCTGGTATTTTTCGCTGTAGGGGCGCTCGAATTTGGAGACGGTGGGGCTGACATGCTAGCTGAGCTAGTCGACCGCTTCCTGGTTGTGGGGGGTATGACGGAGTTGTCCGGCCGGGCGGATTGTCGCGCGACCGATGAACGAGTTAACGCTTATTAACAGAATACAAAACACTTATTCACTAGTTAACACAGAATTTTTGAGCAATTTGGTCGCTTTAACCAATTTGGGGGGGTGCTCAATTTCCAAATTTTGCACTTAGGTTATTAGTTAATCTCAATTAGGTATGGTTTGTCGAATTCCGCGTCTTCGGAGTTAATTAAGACGGGTCCTTAGTCGGGTACCGGTTTTTCGGGAGGGGGGTCCTGCCCTTTTTGGGTCGCCGACCGTGGGGCTAAAGCCCCGAAGTTTAGCGTGGCCCTAAACCGAAGTTTTGGGACGTTTGGTTCACTTTTATACTGCGAATGGTGTTTCGGTGCACCCTGTATATCTCGATTTGTGTCAGCCGGTATCCGGGTTTATGATCAAACAATAATATAATGGCCGGCGGCGGCCTACGATAACGGCGAAACCGTCTATTTGCCGTTGATTTAAAATCGTTCTCTTACCTGACTAAAGCACGTGTGAGAAACGTTTCACCGGTGAAACTTAAATAACACAATAAATATTTATCGGACTAACTCAAAAACGGCACCAGTCCGTGCGCGCACTTTTTATATTCACTTTTATATGGATCACATAAAAAATGAAGCACTTGTGGCGAAGTTGTAGCCAACAAACTTAGGGAGCAGACGTAGAGCGTACTTACTCGACCGCTGTCAGAATGGCACTGACATACATATTATACCTATCACTTTTATATAGAACATTGTTTATTCGTAAAATCTCTTTTTGTAGATATTGGAAGACAAAAAAGTATACAACCATTATTTATACGGCTTGTATAAACTTCATAAAGAGGAAAAAAAAATAACTGGAGGATCGGTCAAAACTGAAAAATTATTCCATGCTACATCGACTAGAAATGCAATGTCTATTATTCAAAATAATTTTGACTGGGGGAAAACAGGTAGATGTAGATTTGGTCAAGGAGTTTGCTTTTCGCCCTACCCTAATTATGCAAATAAATATGCTTCTAGCACAGGAGGTAAATTTAAAAAAAATAAGCATGGTTTTTTTTTTTATTTAAATAAATTTATCAAATTATGTATTTAATTTATGTGTTTTTTTTAATTTGCAAAGTCCTTGTTGGTGGTATTCAGGAAGTAGGTGTTAATTATGACCTGAAAGTTCCGTGTGACCCTGAAGCAGATACCACGGTTTGTTATAGAAATGAAGTTTACGTCAAGTACTACGATTACGAATTTTACCCTATATATGTCGTAGAATATAAATTTAATAAAAATTAAAGTTAAAACCTCAGAATACATTTTTTACCTATAAATCTTCAGTGATTTTAAGTTTTTATGGGTAATATGATATATACATGTTTATATTTTACTATTTATCTTATTACGGTATTTATTTTTTTTTTTAATATAATTTCATAACAAGTAATATGATGCTAATTCACTTGCATAGTTGGTTATGTAAAATTATGTTCAATAAATACAATATGTTTAAGGATCTCGATTTTTCTATTCAAATAACATATCATATCTTATTGCGTGTCTCAATTTTTCCAATATAAATTTGAATACGTTTTTTTTTATAATGAAAATTTAAAGTATAAACTAATGTGATACAGCGAGGTAGTTCGATGGTCAGAAGTGTGGACTAGGTAAGAAAAAGACTGAAGACATTAGAAAGACCCTGACGAAATTGAACGTTATAGTATATCGCTTGCACATTAGATCCATAGACCATTAGATCGGACCGATCACCGATTTCGTTAATGCGAATATTGTACAGCTCATTTAAATTATACATAGTTGTTATCATTTAATAAATAATGATAAGTGATGGTATTATCGATTGTGGATAATGACGGATTAATTAGGTATTTTATTTAGCCATTAAAATTTAAATTAAATTCAAATTCTATGGTTTGTCCGACATGCACACCGATATCGTCGTATTGAAACAATACTTTTAGATGGTTCATGGTTGTAGACCATGATAACGATTAAAGATAATTTATATTTTATATTATCACAAGATTTGTATATTTATCTTTAATCGTGTAGTAGAGTGTAGACTGTAGTCTATCTATCTATCTATACAACCAAGGGCGCCCACAGGACAGAGGGTGCCCCCCTAGCTTCCTGCAAATTAGAGAAATGTTTATCCAATATCCTAAAATTTGTAAAATCTATTGCAAACTCATAGGCGCCCCCCCTGAATTTTAACCTGCGGGCGCCCTTGTATACAACCGTGGTCTCTCTCGCACAATAGGTCCTTATTATTTTGAAAAAAAAAAGTTAAACCAAATGTAAAAAAATGTTATGTTTGCTTAAATTTTGATTGAAACCAAAAAGTTTAAAACGTTAATTATTCATTCTAAATAATATGCTAGTCGCCAAATCCAAATGTATAGCCGATAGTAATATTATAGGTGAGTATTATAGAATGTAACGGCCATATTAACAAATTTGAAATATGATTTTTAGCTATACAAGTAAGTATACAGCTGGCAACACTGTAATGGTGATGAATCGGATAACAAGTATTTGATAACAGCTGTAAACCAAGTGTGAAGTATCCAAACTTTGGTAGCTGATTTTCGCGCCAATTGAACACAAAACAATTAACTATTAAGTATTAACACAAATTATAACCACTCTTCAGTCTTCACCCATGTCGAATGTCTGTAACGTACCGATATAAGAAGAATCAAAGAATAATTTTATTTGTTCACAATTCACATACACGTTTCGAACGGACTACGGTATTGTGCCGTGTGCAGTAATTGTTGACTGGTGTGCGGTAACTACTAACTAATCGTCGGTTCTTATATTTTTTAACTATTCTAAAATTTGGATTGTGGTGCGCTTTTAAGTTTCTGTTCGTTATTGTACCTGTTATTTTTATGGATAATTTCTAAGTCTTAATTTTTTTAATGCGTTATGTCGTATCTCTGTTTTCTACAATTGTTTTTCTATAATTTGATTAAATAGTCAAAACTTGTCTCCAACTAAGACGCGAGCGATCATCTACAATAATATAAGATTTTACTGAAACGCATTTCTACATATTTGAAGAAAATGCAAGCTCAACAGAAAACGTTGGATAACTTTATTAAAAGCAGAAAACGACCTGCAAATGATGATATTATACACAATAAAGGGTTGATTAACTCCAGTACAGATGAAGTTTCTAAGCCAAGCAGAAAATTGTCTTTTGATGATCAACCCTTAGTGCAAACAATTAAAAAACCAAAGGTGATAATATATATGATTATATTTTTATTTAAAATAATTAATGTGTATAAATTATATTATACCTATTGGTAATAGAAGTTTGAACAATGTATAATACAAACATAAACAAACATAAGTGAAAAAATCCATTCGGCTATGTTGCTTGTATACAAACAAGGTTTGCATTTCATACTTTTATACCAACATTTCCAACAAAGAAAATCTCCGAATATTTTATGTTTTCATTCATGTCTGTAACTATATTCCTCTTGAGGTTAGGTAACTTTGTAAATAAAATGCTACGTTTGAACAATAGTGAGCCAAGTCAAGCCACAGCCGTGGGCAACTGATAAAATGAAAATTTAAATGTCTTAATTAGGTAAGTCAACCTTTGCATTCCTGGTCGGCAGCGGTTTGCCACTCTCTCACCCACTTTAATGGTCATTATGTTTATTGCCTGAAAAAAAAAAACAATTATGTAATCTGTAGTGATCTTTGTGTGGGGGTACATTGTTAAACATTTCAAAATGATTTTACAAGTATTACTATTTTAACAAGGATATTATTAATGTATTATTAGATTGAACCAACCATGATTGAGACTCCAATTTCGAACAAAGAATCTGATCCCAATGAAGGCTATTCAAAAAATGTAGCCGATAAAGATGATCAAAAGCGTGACAATGAAAATCAAGGAGAGAGGGCAACAACCCCAGAACAGTCTCCAACGACAAAGGCTCAGTTACGAAGAGTATGTATATATTTTATTATAATATGTTATATAAATTATCAAACAGTTGGTCTGCTGTATAAGGTAATTCTTAACTATTTATGTATAATGTCAAATTGTAGAAAAACATTACTCAATTTAAATTTTATGTTACAGGACTTGGATTTGGGCGAGTTTCGTAAAATTGTACGCAAAAAACAAAATCTTAAAAAATTACAAGAAAAGATTAATAATGTCAATCAAAGTCGAAACAAATTTTTGGCTGCCGAAGCCAAAGTGGAAGAAGCAAAAAATCATTATTTATCATCTTTCAAATCAGTCGATCTCATTCTAGATACTAGTCCTATTAAATTAGGAATGAGTCCAATTAAAAAACATCAGTTAAAACCAACTGCTTTGTTTCCTAGCACAGCACAAGCAATAGTCAGTCCTAGAAAAACTCTTACCTCCCAAAGTCCACAACCTAAGGAGTATGTTTCGCCCAGAAAGTTGTTGAATGAAGTTGGATCACTTTTAGCTATGTCCCCATCAAAAAGATTTTCCACATTAGTTGAATCGAATGCATTGCCATTGCCGTTAAAGTATAGAATATTGAATGAACTATTCAAGGCTATGGAAACTGTAACGTCAATGATGTTTAGTAGAAAAGAGAAAATTACATTTACTAAACTTCAACGAGGCGTTCAACAAATGACGAGAAAGTAAGAGTAATTATTTTTTTATAATTTAAATTGAATAACGAATTTAAAACTTTTGTTCTCTTCAAAGTAATTTTACCGAACATCACTTGGCACAAATAAAATCTGTTGTGCCGGAAATGTATTCTTATTCGTTAGTGAAATCATTAAAGGACAAAATTAGTTTTGAACTGGTTATAACTCCAGTTTATGGTAAGTATTTAATTTTTATTAAAATTAAAATTAAACTGATATAAAAAACAAATTGATCAGGTTCTGCTAAACAAGAAAATGTTGACTTAATCAAATTAACAACCCAAAGGAAAAAGACTTTTTCAAATACTTTACTTGACATCATGAAAAACTTTCATCAGGTATGAAAATAATAATTGTTGTTATTAACTGAATTCAAATGTCACAATATATGCTAAGTCGTATTTTTATTTTTTTTAAACTAGTCTTGTGATAACTTTTGTGAATTTTATAAATTATTATTACCGAAATTTGGATTAAAAAGTTTTAAAAAAAAAGTATAGTTTGTCATATATTTTTAAAGAAATTAATCAAAATAAATACAATTAAAACAAATGAAATACAATTTCATGATATTCCATGAGAGTACTCTTGTTTTTAAGTTATTCTTTAAATTTCGCTAGTGTTTGTTAAATTTTTTTTTTTTTTTTAACTAAGTACTTCAATCCATATTCCAAAGCTTATGAATAAAAATAAATTTCAATAAGTTCTTTAATTTATTTTCTTTTATTTGCAAAAGTAATATTTTAGCTCTCTTTTCATGTGACACATGCACAGTATAATTGTGTAGATTTATTTATATTTCTAGGATTATCTCAGTAATTTAATTCCACCAATTGTTATTGACAAAAATAAAATAACAAGATGGCACCCTGAGTTTGATGTTGAATCTGTAGCTGATATCAAACCATCACCTTTGCCCAAAATAGAAATCGGCAAACCTAAAATAACATCCACAAAAGATATATTGGGTATGACATAAAAATGTGTTGATTCTATTACTATGATAATTAATTATTATATTAATTATATTTAGACCAATCACATCAATTATTTGCTTATAACAATCGTTTAAATCGAACATTGGCAACCATGACGGAAGAACAGCAAAGTTTACCGAAAACAAAAGCTTCAACTGATGATGCTAAAAATGCTTTACACAGTGCATTAAAGGGCATTCCAAAATCATTACTTTTGAAGGTATTTTCAGCCACAATCAGGTATTTAAAATGTTTAAATTATATTACAATTTTTTTTTTTAGATTCAAGCTAAACAGGTAGAAAAAGCAAAAGAATTAATGACAAGATCCGTCGTTCAATTAGATGAAGACAGAATGATGAGCAGATTACCAGAGATTGCTCGTAGAATACGTACTTACTTTGTACAAATGCAAAAAAATATCATGCCTTTAAAAAAAGTTACTGAACAATTAAAACAGAGTTACCCTGAAGCTTTGACTGAGTGTAATTATATTGTAGACTAATCAATCAATACACACAAAACTTTAATTAAAAATAATTAACACAAATTGTCTTTATTTAGATGATTGGAAAACTCATTTAAATCTCCTTCAGGATAAAGTTCCTCAGTGGATTGTATTGAAAGTGTTAGATGGAATTGAACACGTCAAAGTGGATAAAAAAATACCATTTGAAGAATCTGTGATAAAAAAATTGAATTCTCATTTTAAATTTGCAGACTAATATTTTATTTCAGATTATTTTTTTATATAAGCAACATAGATATATATACACATTAATAACTAGTTTTGCATTATGTCATTAATATTTTTTGATTTTTTAAACATTTTTTTGTGAATAAATTAAATTTTTTATTCGTTTGTAATTCTTTATAATATCAGTTGATTATAGCTGTAAAGTAGTATTATACTTTTGAAATATAAATAATGGAAATAATTTTTCAATAGAAAATGTTGTATTCTATAGAAGTGTAATTTTATGTATGACATTTTTTAAAAATAATTTTATTTATGTTTAAAAAAAAATAATAACATTTATAAAAAGGGTAATTATATAGATGGTAAAAGAATCTCTGTCATTTTTTTGTTATAAATTACACTATAAACATCTGTTTTATAGACTACTTTGGTTTAACTATTTAGTTGTTCTTAGATGATAGAAAAGGAAGTTACACTTTGTGTTTGCAACCTTATGCCATTTTTTACTATGTAATTGTTATATTGTGATTGATCAATTGTGCAAATTTTTTATATATATAAAATTGTATTTATATTATTTTTTTTTAAACTTATATTCGAATAAGTAATTATAATTAATTACAATATTCTAGCACAAACAAATAGTTAAAAAAACATATGTATATGATTTTTTATTTTATACGTAATATATTATAATTAAAGAAATTAATTAATGAATAATTATTTGAATAATACGTACTCAAAATGATTGTTTAGCTATATTTTATTTAAATAATGCATGGCATTGTGACATAATTAGTTAAGAATATACTTATTTATTATTATTTACTAATAATTTTATATACATGATTAAATAAGAGCTAAAGTATACATAGAATATAATAATTACATTTTGTCATAGTTTTATTATTTTAAAGAATTTAATTATTTTTGATACGTTGTGGGGTTGGTTTCTTGTAAGCTAACCGACATTGCGAGTTTAGCTCTTTATTTTATATATTTTCGAACTTAACACAATACATTTTTTTAAACAAACTACTTCTTTGAAAAATAATCTTAAAAATGAAAAAGAGTAGTTATAAAAAAAAATCTACATAATTTAAAACAATATATTAACTGTCCTAAGAACATTGATAAAAAATATACTGCCTATCAGGTTAGAGCATAGACATACATCCATGGATACAACAATATTATTATTTAAATTGTCTGAAAAATTTCACCATATGATATTTGATATATAACAACACTTTATATCACCTTAGTAACATAAAAATTTAGTCTCCTGAACAATTAATCAAGAATTTCTGTCATTTGAATTTTCTAGTTCTAAAACAAATTTTTTCGTAAGAAAGCTTGTGATTCTTTCCGAAATGTATTTTAGTTCTTTTTTTTTTGGTAACAACAGAAGACCAACAGCAGTGTTTCGATATGGCAAAATTTGTCAGTAATCAAAAAGCATTTTGTCGATTTGATGATAAGGTAGGACGTTTTATCATTATAATTATTTGTAAGCAAACTACTTAATATAATATATATGTATTATTTTTTTATTGAAGATTAGGCTTCAACCTATTTTTAGCTATTTACAATAATGGTGTATATTTAGTATTTACAGTGTTTTTATTAAATTTGTGTTCTGAAAATATTGAAATATTTTGTTTATGTTCTGGATATGTCAGCTAGTGCTTATTTAATCTTGTTTGGAATTTCATATTGGGTGCGTTTTTCATCGTATTTCTTGCATTCTTTAACTATGTGTTTGATTGTGAGGGGGACTAGGCAAGTTTTACAGTTAGGTTTTTCATCTTTGGTTTTTAATTGCGTGTGTGAGGTTTAAGTGGCTAATTCGAAGTCTTGTTAGGCATACCGGTTCTCTTCTCGGGATATGTGGGGTGTTAGTATAAGAGGGTACCCAAAGTAGGATAATTTGAGTTGATTGGGAAAAGATGGAGGATTGTATTTGTTTGATTATGTCATTTTTTGTTTTTGACAGCCCCTAAAACACTGAAAGAGTCGCTAATGACAATTGTTTTGTTAAAGTTTAGAGAGGATGCTAGTTCAATTGCTTTAAATATAGCTAAGGCCTTTGCTGAAATGATGCTATGAAATTGTTCATTTTATATTGAATTATATTTTCTTTGTTAACAATGGTTATTCCTACTCCGGTTTTCGATTGTAATGCATCAATGTAAATCTGTCGGTAATCGAGAAATTCGGTTTGAATGATATTATTAAACTTGTTTAGAATAGTTTCCTGATATGTGTTTGCTTTTTTGATTCTTGTGAAGGTCTATTTTCCAGTATGGAAACAAGGCTGTTAGTTCTTGTTTATTTATAAATGCACTGCATATTTCTTTGTGTGAGCAAATTAAAGGGTCAATTGTCGTACGGTGTTTTCTAAAACCACTTTGTTCTATAGCTAAGAGTTTGTTTGACTCTAAGAACCATCTGATTCTAGTGTCAACTATTTTTTCAAGTGAACTCACTGGGCATAATAGCGATATTGGATGATGATTTTCGGGCTCAAACTTGTCTTTATTTGGTTTGGCTATAGGAATAATTATAGCTGTTTTCCAGCTGGAAGGAAAGTTACCTGATGACCAGATTGTGTTATATATTATTATTATTATTATGCGTATGGCGTATTGACCGAGAGTGGCTATGGCTAACTTTATGCCAGTTCGGTCGCCGGGTGCATGGCATTTCAGCCATGCATTCGGGGTTGTTAGTATGGGTCGCTGCTAAAAATCCCGGGTGGTCACCCATCCGGGATCAAGCAGCAACGGACACAGCTTAACCTCAAGTGCCACGCGGCATCTGAGGTGTCCACTGCGCCACACCTCACGATTGTTATATATGTTTAGTAAGGTTTGTGTGCCAAGCAATAAAAGTTTTTGTAAGAAAATATATGGTATACCATCTGGCTTGAAATTTTGCCACTTTTTTTATAGTGTGTCTGCTATTTCGAGGGGGTTGGAATTTATTACTTTATTTATTCTTGGCGACCGAGAGAATGGCGAGTAGTATTAGTATATTTTATTTTTCAATATTTTTACTTTGATTCTTTGTTAAACATATTTTGATAATTATAGTATATATATATATATATATATATATATATATATAGTAATTTTTAAGGAGCTGTTAACATGAAACATTTTGAATTGGATAAAAATATTGAACTTGGCTGAAATCTGGCTTGTGAGTCACATAAAAACCAAAATAATTACTTTTATTTATGTAGATAATTTTCATGAGATATATTCTTCTTTTTTTATATAAATAATTCATCAAAAACTTTGAAGTATCATAGAACAGACAAATTGTATATTATAACTTATTATTATTATTTTGCACTTTATGACTAACGTTTTAAAAATAAAAAATAAAACAATAATTATTTTTTAATATTTTGTAAAATGTATTATTATTTTTTTTTATAAATAATCAATCAATTATTGTCAAAAAAAACAACATTTTTTTATATTTATGTAATTATTAATTTATTGTATTTATAAATAGTATTAAACAATTATTTTTTATATTTCAAAATACGTGACTTGATTCTTATTATTTTTATACGTGTACAATATTTTTTGTTGGAATAACAGGATTAAATAAGTGAAACAAATAAAATTTTGAGTATAAAAAAAAAACGATGACTGTTTTTCAATAACAAGGAATATGCATTTAATCTGACTACACAGTTGATAATAAACTATATTGAAATTCTACTTAGGTGAATTGTGTATATTTAATATTTCTTTCTAGATTTTGTCATAAAATCTAACATTTAATAATTTGTTATCATAATAATACTATGAAGTAAGAGCCATGAAAAAGAAAAAATTTTACATACGTTAACTATTATGTAGCCAGTACAGTTGTAGACAACCGTAGTAGTGAGACGTACTGATCTATTTATTAAGTCCTACGAATATCTAAAGAACAGCTTTATCTAAGGGGTAGTGTTTTAAGTATTTTGATAAGACTTCATTTAGACCAAAAAGCCAGACAAAATTTCAGTTACTTAGGAGAGGAGTCCGATTTCAACTCTATAAAAACATAGAGTTCTTTTAAAACTTTACTAGGTTGTGTAATGTTTTTTTTATTTATTTATAAAAAAAAATGAAGTACAGATATCAAAAAAATAAAAACATTATCCTATAAATAAAGTTGTTCTCTAAACATTGAGAAAAATTTGGTAAATCTACACACACATAGAGATGCATAGTCCTGCATAGAGATGTTTTGATTGAAAATAAATTGTAATTTATCCTATATTAATGACCTATACCCCTGACAGGGGGGGATCACGTTAATCTGAACCTAGGGTAATCCAAAAGACGTGGTAATCCGACGGGCTTAACCCTTTACTGCATGAATTTTTTTTTTAACCATATGCTATAAATGTACTTAATATTACTTAAAAAAATAAAAATAAATTTTTTTTGAGTTTTGGTTTCATGGAAATCGCTAATTAAAGAATTGTACCAAATATGGAACATTGTGCATCAAAGATGTATAGCATAAGCAGATATAAACAATAAATACAATTGTTCCATATATGGAACATTGTGCAGTGAAGGGTTAAGAATTATTGCACCACCATATTTTGACCACAAAAGCGTTGAAAACTGCAAAGAAATAATGTTGTTGAGACGTTTGCGGAACAGTGCCTTTGATCAGCATATTATAGGAACCAGTGTTCAAAAAAAAATAACTCAATATTTTAAATGAATATGTATGTTGTCTTTTTCAATATAATATAAGTTTTAAAATTATATATTATGTAAAATATATAAGATAAATTAATATATATATATATATATATATTAAATAACTAATAAGAATAAATTGCACGGAAATTATATTTTTAAAAGTTTTATCACTCATAGATAATCTAATCTGAACAAATCGGTACCATAGATAAAATGAAACTTATCTTATCTGTGTCGATACTTTGAACTCTCAAATCATGTATCAACCTGGTATAATCATACCAGTGAGGTATAATTTATCCGCGCCCGCCATTGCGCGATAAAATTCAAATTTACCCAAATAGAGTTGGCGAGAGTGAACATCCTTGTCCCTTCCTAATTATCGCTGTCTCTATTTTGTCCGTTACTTTTATTGTAGCTGATTGATCTTTTTATAAATTATATATTACCCTTCTATTTCTGTAGTCAGCTCCTATTCCTTCTAAAGTATAGAATAGATCTTTCCATGGTACCTTATCAAAAGATCTTTCCATGGTACCTTATCAAAAGCCTTTTCCAAATCTATAAACGCTTTAAATGTGTCTTTTTAAATTCTATTTGTTTTTCTACCAATATTCTTAAGCCTAAGATTGCCTCTCTAGTCCTTTAGACTTTCTGGACCTTTGTTCCTTCTGAACCCGAATTGGTCGTCGCCTAACTCTTTTTTTACTATGTTTTCATTTCGATTGCATATTATCTTTACTAGGATTTTGGCTGCGTGTGCCATTAAACTTATCGTTCTGAATTCACTACATTTATCAGCCGTTGCTTTTTTAGGTATAGGTACTATAATACTTTCCTTGAAGTCTTCTGGGATCTCTCCCGTTGTATATATATATCA